TAATCTGAAGTATAGTAGATTTTGGAGAAAACAACCTGAACTCATAGTGTTTTGTTTTACTTTATTTATTATTTATTTAAAAACATAAAGATTAGTACAAAATGGCATTGAACAGATATACGCCACATAAATCGTTTGGTTTATGTGAGGGCTGGGATACTGTTCGGATGCCTAAAAACCGAAGGTGATTTTGTTGGGGAAACACTGGAGCAACTTAAGGAGATGCAGTCCCATGGTAACCGTTGATCAATGATTGGTTTATACACCAATTTTTCTCTCAGGATCTTGGAATCATGTACACCATGAGTTTGGGATCAGGATTTTCCAACACCCCTAGATGGAATCTCTGTGTTCGGATATTTGCTTTTTGTTCTCTCAGTTTCGTAAGTAACAGTATTGCCGCGAGAAGGCAGTGAGTAGGACTTCCCTGAAGGTAGTTGCATGCACGTGCTCACTTGAGAGCATTTCGACAAGGAAATCGGCCATACCAGGGCATCCAGGGGCTTTTTAAGTAAATGGCAAAACGTCCTAATCGTGATGTTAGGCATTCATAATTTGCACCATTCAGATACGCTTTAAGTTGATAATTGATGAGATTTTTTAATATGTACTAGCAGGACGTGAATGACGTTATAACGGCCTTTAGACAAATATTTCGTTGACTTTAGAGATTTCAACTGTCAAATTTAAATGTAGCAAGTTCACTAAGAAACTTAAATTTCTGCAGTTCGATTGTATTTCAGATCTTGATATAAAGTCCTAAATCACAGATGTTTGGTAGCTTACTAAACATTCAGTGTCAAATGAATATGTGGATTGAGCTACTATATTTGTTAGTCATGAATTTAGCTAAATAGAAGAATAATTACCTTTCGCTTAAATGTTAAGCACCTTGAGTCAGTGTGAACTTTAGGACTTGTCTATATTTAGCTGCTCATCGAACGAATTTGTGTTTCATATATTATTTGCTTGTATAACACGATAAATGTGATTGTACATTCATCGGTGATTATCTGGACGTTTCTAACCTGTGCTTTGATCATTATGTTAGATTACCTTTCTTACTCATGAGGATCGGTCTTTTGTGATTTCTCTAAGTTCTTAAAGTACAGAATTGTCTTTAGAACTGGCACTGGAACGATGTGAAGACTAAAAATAATGAAACAAGCCATATGAAAAACCATACTTTTGAGAACTTATAATGATACTTAAAACAAAGGAAATAAAGTAAAGAAAAATTTACTATGATATGTAGCAAGTACTTTAAATCAGACAATGTAGATTTAACTCACATTTGTAAAACGATATTTTTATAACTTTGGTTCATGTATTTATTAGACAGATTACATTTTCATTCGTTAAGGGATTACTTTAACAACACATGATGTCCATGGTTTGATACTGATAAACACTTTTCTATAAACGAGTCCAGTTACTAGAGAAGAAAGCGAAAGCAAGAAAGCAAGTTTACAAGGCCAAAATTGAATCATATATGTGAAAGAATAATACTATCAGTGGTTTGTATTTTATTTCTTGAATATAGAAACTATTGAGATTAGATGGTGATTGGAGGTAGTCGACAGGAAACCCTGGACAGGGGTTTCGTGCTACTTGCCACTCGTCATCAAGGTGTACTTGTGATCTTGAGGGAACTGGTGCTCCCTGGTGGATTCGATCCCGTGTCACCCAGCTTCACAGTCAGAGACGTTACTGGTTGCCACATTGCAAAATGATCGATAGCATTCGATTTGCACTAAATAAGGACTTGACACATATGACATTGATCACCACCCAGTCATCAATCAATTATAATATAGAAACTATGTTTGACCAATCACGAGCAAGTATCATTCGCTGGTTTCTGATTGACCCATTATAACAATGATTACATTAAATTACATAATTATTGCATTACATATCTAGTTGAAATAACTTTGTGGGACTCCTCAGCATCGCGCATCCACGACCTCGCCCCCTGCGAGGTTTCGCGCGCGATCACTTAACTACAAGACCACTGAGCTGGCCGGCATCCAACGGTGTTAATGTCTAACTTCAACTAATCCACGAAATTGAGCGACACATCCACCATTGTCTTTAGTGAGTTACTATCTCACAACAGACCTAGTTGAACTCCACTGGTCACTACTTCTCACTAGAACTCCAGGATATACCACGTGAAGCCAGTCACTAGTGAGCATATGTTGATTAATATCAGATGGAATCTTTTATGGATATTCTAGTAATTTTAATGGTTTAGATCATGAGTTAGTTGAAGCTAAATTTGTTTAAAATATTAATATTATTTATTTGAATTTTAAGAAATGGAATGAACTATTAGCTGAAAAAGCTAAAGATCATGTTAAAAAATGTATATTGGATAGTGGAAATCTTGGAGATTTATACGTTGGTAAATTTGATTCTGTTGGACAAACTGTAGCTGAACATACAACAATAGAAAAGTAAATTGTGTATAAATATTAATATTTTATAAGATATCTAGAACTATTTTTCATATTTCAGTTTTATTTTTTATGTTTATGTTTGTTAATATTTGGTCGTCGTTGTGCCGGAGAAAAAAATGCTGATTACTTATACTCGGAACGAGGAACCACGGCAATTCCCACGATGCGGAAGTAAGAACACAAAGACTGGTATAAGTGAAGATTTATTAGCCCCAAACACTATGACGACGACGAATCCCAGTAGTCTAAAATACACTGGTTTATATATATTGATTTTACACCCATTTCGAGTAATAATTAGGATTAGATCACATACTCAATTATAACAAATCACTTAATGAGCATCGTTCATGTCAATTGAATACAAGAATATCGTATATTATAAAGAAGAAAATATTATACTGGGAAAACAAACCAAATACTACATTGAATGATCTTCACGTTGAATCAAAACGGATGTTGAATGTTGAATAAAACTTATAATGAGTAATTCAATCGAAAATATACTTTCCTTTCCATCATATGAATGTTAAAGTTAAGGGTAGGGGATTGAAAGCTTGTGATGATAAAACTTGACTATAGTCACTTCTTATGAAGCAGTCCAATTGCAATCATTAGACCTTGGGTTTAATCCCACTTAAATGAACTCAAATAGTACTAATCAGTTTGGATAATTGTGGTGAGTTTCGGCCAAACATTTCGTACAGTTAATAGTTGAATTCATGAGTCAATTGAAGCAAGACCACCATGGAAAACCTAGAAAGCACTGGGAGGCTGTTTTGTCCTAGCGTGGGACTCCTCAGCAATGGCTGTCCACGATCCCGCCCCTAGCGAGATTCGAACCCAGGACCTACTAGCCTCGCGCGCGAAGTGGGATAATGGATTTGTCAATTCTGAGGAGTCTCATACTAAGACGAAATGGCTGTTCAGTACTTCTAGGTTTTTCATGGTGCTTTAGCTTCAATTGACTCATGAATTCAACCATTAAATTACTATAATATCCACAAAATCCTTCTCCGATTTCTTACATTATTAATTTTTTTTTAATTTCAGTATACTGAATACTTGGTTGGAAGAAAAAAATGATTATAATTTCGACAAGAATACATGTGAAGAAGAATGTGGAAATTATAAACAAGTATGTTGTTTCAGTTTAGGGTTTTGTAAAGATTGTAAAATTGTCACAGTTTACATTACGAACTAATGTTGACTGGGTTACCACTGAGAACCAGGAAGCACTGGATAGTTGTGTTTTTTTCCTGATACGATACTCTTAATTAGAGTACATCCAAGACCCCAGCACAAGGAGTCGAACCCAGGAAATTCGGTCTGACGCATGAACTCTTAACCTCTAAACGAATAAGGTTAATTATTAATAGACTGAAACAACTGTTCGGTGCATTCTAGTTTTCATTGATCGCCTAATCAGAATTAATTCATGATTTAAACAATGACGTATATTTTGAATTCTCACAAATGAAACAAATTTAATGGTTCGAATTTTAGTCGCGTATATTGTGTGTGTGCGCGTGCAATTCAAAGCCGAGTTCTGTGATCATTAAACCATTGTGTCAACCATAAGCAAAGATGGATAGTGGCTAGCAGTGGAATTCAGGACGTGTTCTGATTTGGGGACTTTTCGAGTAAAGTAATGTCCAAGAATACTAAGTAATAAGAGTAGCTTGGTTGTAGTAAGAGAAATTATAACACAAGTATACTGACCAACTTGTTTAACTAACATTATATGTCATCATTTGCACATGAAATTTAAAGTCGATATATTTAGTGTTTTCAGCAAGATTCTAACTATTGGAAAACTCAAGATGTACTACTTCAATGGTTCCTTTATTCTTTTCCTTCTCTGTTCTTTTATATAAATGAGAGGCGATAACCATATAAGATAAATCTATATCATATTAATAGCCTTAAGTGATCAATCAGATTAAACATGAATATATAAACATGAATTCAGGACACAGGTTTCGTCCTATTTGAGACTCATCAACTGGATGTACCTGAATTCCAGAGTGTTTGAAAAGCATGTGATTTAAGGCTGTATCAACGTAATCTGCACAGGATGCACATATGCCAACAAGAGACTGATCAATTGCAGTCCTAAATAACAGTGGAAATATACAAGTAAAACAACACCAAGTGAATGTAACTAATCACTGTTTATAACTTTGTATACATGCTTTTTGAACATTTACAAGTTGGATTCGCCATTATTTTGTGCTGAGAACCAAACACATGGTATCATATACACCGGTTATTATTATTATTATTATTATTATTATTATTATTATTGTAGTGAACGAGAACGCTGATAGGGACAATCGAATGTATTCGAACATAGAATTACAGAATCTCTAAGTAAAATCTCAGAACCATACAGTAAATACTTCATTTGTAAAATGTCAATTAATCGTCTCAGACTACATTGTTCTTTTGTTTCCACATCAATCACTCTCTGTTCTCATTCTCTTCTCTTTGATCTTTTTAACCTTCTGTCACCAGGCATTTCACTTTCGATTAATGATACATACTACTTATATCGGTCTACATCAGTAGTATATACTACATTGTCCTTAATAAACTTGGAAACAGTTATTTCCAATAAAATATACTTAATATACTGAGAGGCAAGTTTTTCTTTATTTTCTCAAATATCTATGTAGATAGTATGGGCAAACACTACAGATATTGGCTGTGCTTCAAATAAATGTGGTAACAGGTATATGGTTGTATGTAATTACGCTCCAGGGTAAGTTATGATAGAAAAACTTAACTCTTGATTTTATATACTTGTTCTCAATAGTATGAAATGAGTCAAACTCAAATTGGTATAGAAAAACATACTGTTTGTTGATATGGGGTTGTTTCACTGTGTGTGTGTGGTCTAGTTTTCTTAAACACATTTTAATGTGGATAAGAGACGGGTGGAAGATAGAGATGCCTTTTACATCTATAATCAGGTTGACACAACTTTTGAATATATTTGAATCACTAAAACTGAGTCAAACTCTCCAGGGATAAATCAATCATTTACTCCACGCAACAATCAAGTTTATTAATGTTGTCAGATTAAAATATCACAATCTTATAAAGTAATCCAGTTTTATAGCATGATTTTCATTCAATGAATAACCATTCTATTAAATTTACTGTCACATCTTTGATCCATTTACGAACTATTATGTAGGAGAGAATGGTCTCAATCTGCTTCCAAATGCCCTGGTACGGTCAAGAATGGGGAAAAGCCGTTCTTTTTCTCTCTCTCGAAATGCTCTCACATGGTCACGTGCATACAACTGCTGACAGAAAAGTCATGCTACCCTCTCACACCACGAGTGTTGTTTACGAAATAGAGTGGACGAAAAGCGAATGTCCGGCGCTTCAACCGTGTTGGTGGACACGGAAGATCCACCTAGGGGAGTTTGGAAATCCTGGTTCAAAACCAATGGTGGCCTCGAGGATCCTGAAGGAACAAATGGCATGTGAACCTATTGTTAATCACCGGTTAACATCAGACTGTATCTCCTTACGTTGCTCCACTGCCTTGTGGGTTAGTCCTTTAGGTCAGAGGCTTTGGGTGAACGCCTACTTGTACGAGTGCTTAAGTGTTTAAATAAATAAATAAAATCTAGTCTAAAGCCTACACATGATGATTTACTAAGTCCATAGATGGGGCTTGTAAATGTATGAGTTAGATTGTGACTAAACAACCTTGAGTGTAAAGAGAGAAAAAACTATACTATCACTGATCTGTGACCTGATAAGTAAGCAAGGAGAAAAAAATAGAAGAAAAATTAACTGGAACGTTACTTAGTTTATACTTATAAATGATATTCCCTGGTTTAGATTAACTGCAAAAGGCACACCGGCAAGATTATAATTTATGGACGAACCAATCAGGTATAATATTATAGGTTACGGATTTTGGCGCGAAATTCACTCAGCCATTCGGTTAAATAGAATTTTAGCATTATAGCTGAAGTTAGTTCGTAAGTCACTAAGTAGTGGGCAAATTATTTTATCAAGATAGAATAGATATCTGTGGTAACCAAATGACTTGTGAACCTTGAGCAGACTACCGTGATGATGTTATCTTTCAATATTATATGTGTTGGGGGGAAACGTCTGCTAGTATAGGATTTTTTTCTCTCGATCCAGATTGAAACTAAGGCAAATTACGACATCCGTTGGGAACTGGATAATAAAAAAGTGCTAGTAACATAGGCTGCAGTTCGGTACCACAATATATACGGATGGTTGGAGAGCTTACAGATGCCTACATTTACTTGATTATGTGCATCTTCTAGTTATTCACAAGCGGCATTTTGTGGGCTCAACAACCGGAGTGCACACAAATAATATTGAAGATACATGGTCGGGGATAAAAGAGATTTGGCAACCTTATCACGGCCTCAGAAGGCGTGGAAGATTTCCTTTACCGTATGCCTTACGATTTTATAACCTCTGAACCTCTTTCTAACCTTGAAAAGTTTTTGAACCATGCAATTCTTACTTTTTATATGATATATTATTACTCCATACTACCTGGTTCCTGATTGACTGATATTTCTCAAGGTCACCTAAGATTCGTTTAAGGGTCGTTCATAAATTATATTCGCGCCAACCATTTTATAGTACATTCTCTTCATTGAAATTATCATTATAAGTGAATATCCAAAGAATTTTGAATTGTTTTCCTTTTGAACAATTTAAAACTATTTAATGTGAAGTTATACATTTACATTTTATCTATTTTTCATACATGTTTTTCTGTATTCCTTAGGGCTGATGATGAAAGGCCATATGAAAAGGACTCATAAGATAGTAAATGAAGTCAAAAAAATGAAGTGCTAAGTATGAGTAAATAGAATTGTTCATGATTTCAAATAACTTATTTTGAATAGAAAAAGAAAATCATATTCGAAAGAGAAGATATATATACCTATAGTGGTTTTATTCTTGCCATCCTTCTCAATGATCCGAATATGTTATAGTTTATAGTTGTTCAGTTTTAGGTTGACAACGTAGGGGTTTAAATTTTTAAAAATATCACTTGTAGATTTTGTGATAAACTTATATTTTGGAATGTACTTAGTTCTCTTAACATCTGATTTGAGTTTCCAGTTGGTTAACACAGTAATATCGATTGTGTAGTAAATAGATATTTTCAGTATTTACTCATGAAAAGTTACAACTTGTCTTATAGTACATAGCTGAAAGTATACTGCATTATCTTACTTCTAGCCTGAACTCCCACATTTACTTCTCTCCAACTAATTGCCACTACTGAATAATGACACTGATTCGATCGTATATCCTTGCCTCTCAGATATCTCTTAACAAGAGAGCTTTTGGCTAAGTTTGTCCTCAGTAATTTCATGCACACTAAACATATCGCGGCCGGTAATTCTATTCATTTTTTCCATCCATTTAGTTGATGGCTATATCAACCCAAAGTGAAACTGTCATTGAAAATTTCGTTTCAAATATTAGGGTTTATTGTTTCTGGTTTTCATTCGTGATGTCTTATTGTGATATTCTGAATACGTTTGTAGCAGACAATGAAAGATCGCTGAGGTAGAGCTTTCTGTACCCATATATCAGTGGTGACAACCAACAGTTTTGTTCCAACCGTGGCGAAATAACCTTTGGAATTCCAAACGTGACATCTTTGTTGCTAGTCAATGTCAACCAGATGATTTTTTCGGCTCTCTTCTTTATGCTACCGTATTGTTTTAGGTTTTTTGGTATCATCTAGTGTTGACGATCTGAATACCTTGCCGAACAAATCCTTGTGAATTCAATCATTAATTGTGGATTTTCGCCTTGCGTTTAAGTGAATGCGTTTGCACGATGATTAGAATTATTCGAACTATTGTATTAACCGGGAATTTCCGAAGTAGTACAAATTAAGTTCAAATAGAACCAAGTTAGCACTAACAAATGTATTGTACTTAGAATTATAAATAAACCAAGAATTAAGTACAAATTAATCATTAATTCATACGAACATCACAGTTTTTCCTGAGCGGTAGGTTTTCTGAAACTAGAAGTTAAAGTGCTGTCACGTAGTAGGTAGGTCGGTTGTAATATGAGAATTATAAATTTAGAATGCGAACGAATGAAGAAAAGACAAGGGTGGAAATAGGTAAATAAACCGATCACACAAACAGTACAAATAATAACACACAGAGAGAGAAGTGGATAGAAATAAGACGATCATTGTAATAATAAATGGTTAATCGTTATAGTGATAATGATAGAAAAATTACTGAGATAAACCGTGGACCATGGACGAAAATGTGAATGCATGATACTTGTACTAATTGATCAATCCTTTGTACTTGATTACTCACTCTCTGAGAATTTCAAATATCATACGTTCATCTGTGCTCATTTAGTTCTTTGTCTTAAGTTGGACTTTTATAAGAATTCTTAGTTAGTAAATGAATTTGACCACTTCTAATTAATATAAGTCGTCAAGCTTTATCTCGTACCTGTCACTTTAATTAGAAAAGGATTACATATGCCACTAGGTCAAAATTGAAAAACGCATGACGACTTTTTGAGTGTTCGCTCTTAGATATGCCATTTTTCGGAGGTCATTTTGTAAAATACAATGATTAGGTTTAAGAAGAATGGTTTTAAACGACTTTATATACCTAGGATGCTATATAAGATTATCAGATTACCTCTTGTCTGTCTACAGTAAACTCTTTGATCATATGATTGCCCCAGTTCAATCATTCACCTAGTTGATTATTTTTGAGTATGTTCTATGAGACTTATATCTCATGAGGAGATAGAATATGCTACTTTTAAGTTTCAGGATGATGCTATGTGTATGTTGTAAACAGTGATGAAACCGCTGTAGAGTGAAATCCACTCAGTCCGTCGTCATATGAAATGAAAATTTGCAACTGTGTTGTCTACATCAGCAGTGTAGTTTGTACTGGTGTTCAAGTTCTATGTGGTTAATGGACTACGTTTGTAAAACTGTGGTCTAGTTCGTTATTAGTACTGCCATAACAGTAAACTCGATCCTTAAATTGTAGATGAGTCATGATATGAAAACCTCATCCGCAAGATCTCGCATAGAATTCACACCATTATATATTCTGACTCGTCGTATCATAACAATCAGCAATATAATGTTTAGCATTTCTGAAGAATACATTTAGGCTGAAGATATATTTAGTAAGAATAAGAGATAAATTGTGCAAGAAGGATCACGTTCGCAAGGTAGAGCCATGCCATCTTATTTAACGTATGTTCCCGCGCTCGCCATTGTTGACCTCTTAATGTTACGTGTTGAAAGTTGTTATGTATCGCGAGGTGACTACTCTAATTTCTACCGATTGACTAGCTTCAGATATCCCAGTTCGACCCCAATACTGTTCCCAATCTCCAATATATCAGAACACGAACCGTAGATGAGAAATTGTTTATGGGGTCAGGAGCCGAATAATGATTTACAAACAAATGCATATTTATACAGTTAGGATTACTATAAATATTGACCAACAGAAAGATAACACGTGAAATAATATTGACCAATGGGGAAATGACACGCGAAATAAATATTGATTAGTAGGGAAACGTCCAATAGGAAAATGACACCATTTAACGTTCAAGGGTAGCATTAGACTTAACCGGATAATTGTTTTTGGGATATTTTTCTGAATATCCCAACACCTCCCCTTGGAAAAGTTAATAGCGACGTAATCGAGGATTTACTTGAAGTTTCTTTGGGTGTCTTCTTTTGCGATCCGACCTCCGAGGCAACCACACAGAACCAGAAGGATGTTCTACTTGAGTAGATGACTTAGTCGTCTCTGTTGGAGGTATTGGCGGAAGTTGAAACGTGTCTAACAGCAGGTCGAGTGGAACGCTTTTTGTACTTGCTTCTTTCTCCTTCGCTTCCCTTGGCCTGACTTGATTGTGGTGCCTGGTCCAGATTTCTTGGTTCACTTTGACATCATACATGACGTTCCCGTGTTTCTTTGTGATTTCACCCTCTACCCATCTATCACTTCCGTGTCTATAGTCTCGCGCATACACTTTTGTACCAACTTCGTAGGGAATTCGAGTATTCTTCATCTGGGGGTTTTGTTGCGCCACTTGCTTAGGTTTCATCGCACAATGAACTGTCCGTAGCTTTCGCCCCATAAGCATCTCAGCAGGGGATTTGGAGTTTGGCAATAAGTCATGCGGGGTCGTCCGGTACGCAACTAGGAATCGTTCTATGATATCTTCTGTGGTCCCCTCCCCTCGTGATTTAAGCATGGCTCGCTTAAATGTATCAACGAACCTTTCAGCTTGACCATTAGATTGCGGGTGATATGGCGGAGAACGGACATGGTTGATCGAATTTTGCAGGCAAAATTCTCGGAATTGGCTAGATGTGAATTGTGAACCATTGTCTGTTACTATTGTTTCTGGAAGACCATGCTGAGCGAAGATCCGATTAAGGAGTTTGATAGTTCGAGTTGTAGAGGGTGGCGCAATCGGCAATATCTCCGGCCATTTGGAGTAGGAGTCAACCAGTATCAGATATGTGGTACCATCTAGAGGTCCGATGAAGTCAATATGCACTCGCGACCAGGGTTTTTCCGAGTTTGGCCAGGGTACTGGAGGCAACTTAGGAGGATTTTTGGCAGCTTTTTGACAATGCGAGCATCTTTTGACGAAGTCGACAATCTGCTTGTCCATATTCGGCCAATATGCATAACTGCGAGCGATGGATTTCATACGGTTTATCCCTGGGTGTCCCGAGTGGAATTGGTGTAGGATCTTGGAACGTAGGGTTGTTGGAATTACTACGCGATCACCGAACATCAGACAATCGTTAACAATACAGAGAGCACTGCGACGATTCGCTAGCTGTTGCATATCACCACTCAGCTGCTTAACTGGCCATCTACTCAGAACATAGGTGATCGCTTTTTGGATAATCGGGTCCTCTCTGGTAGCTTCCCGAACATCTTCAGCGGTAACAGGCATTGCTCGAATGGCATTCGCTAATACAGTAGCACCGGAATCCTCTTCGGTTGATACTATGGCTATGAGTGTGTCCTCATCAGTAGTAGAATGGTTCCTGATAAGTCTGGACAGTGCATCAGCTTGACCAAAATCTTCGGAATGTCGATACTGGATGTCGAAGTCGTACCCCAATAACGCCAACGCCCAACGTTGAAGACGATTAGCAGAATGGGCAGGAATGCCTTTCTTTGATCCAAAGATTGATAACAAGGGCTTGTGGTCTGTGAGCAAGGTGAAACGGCGTCCGTAAATGAATTTGTGGAATCGCCGGACAGCAAAAATTAGGGCTAACGCTTCCTTCTCTATCTGGCCGTAGCGTTTCTCAGCAGGTGTTAGTGTTCTCGAAGCATGCATCACCGCTTTCTCTGACCCATCGGGAAAGACATGTGAGAGTACGGCACCCAGTCCATGTGTTGAAGCGTCAGCAGCAACCACAATGGGTAGTTTCGGATTGTAGTGGGTTAGCAGAAGATTGGAACTTAACATGGCTTTAAGTTTTGAAAAGGCTGACTCACATTGCGGTGACCAATTCCAAGTAGCATTCTTTTCTAGCAGACGATTCAGTGGATATCGTACGTCATGTAGTGATGGAAGAAATGCTGAATAGTAGCTAATCATTCCCAAAAATGATCGCAGTCAGGAGACATCAGTGGGAGCAGGCATTTGTTGGATTGCGTAAGTATTTTGAGGATCAGGATGTCGTCCGGAAGCATCAAAAATAAACCCCAGGTACTTAACGAAACGTAAGAAGAAATGGCATTTTTCTGGGCGAAGGCGGAAACCATTATCCTGGAGGCGTTTCAGAACTAAGTGAGTTCTGGTATTCAATTCATCAGCAGTTGCGCCGACAATGAGGACATCGTCAAGGTACGTAGCAACACCAGGAACATCTGCTAGAATAGTGTCCATGATCTGCTGGAAGATCGCTGGAGCAGTTTTGATACCAAAGGGTAACCGGGTATACTGAAAAAGTCCTCGGTGAGTGTTGATTGTCAACAACTCTCTGGATTCTAGAGCGACTGGAATTTGAAGGTAAGCATCTGCCAGATCCAGCTTAGCAAAATAGGTACCACCATTTAAAATAGTAAATAAGTCATCTGGGATCGGCAGCGGGTAGTGATGCTGTTGTAGAGCCGCGTTGAGTCCTGTGGAAAAGTCTGCACAGATGCGTATGGAACCATTAGATTTTTTTACAACCACAATTGGTGCAGCCCAAGATGAATAAGAAACAGGTACCAGAACACCCTCAGTTTCTAAACGTTGAAGTTCAGCGTCAACCAGGGGTAAAGATGCGTATGGGACTGGACGCTTTGGACGAAAAACTGGCGTAGCTTCTGGCTGCAGTCTTAAAACAGCTTCAGTTGTAGTACAAAGTCCAAGACCAGGCTGAAATAGTTCAATAAATCTTTTTCGAAGGTCTTCAGCATGCTGTTGTGTCGATACAGTAGTTTGGACTTGATTGCAGATAGCGTTAATAGGAAGATCAGCGAGACCAAGTTCTTCGAACCAATCTAAACCTAAAAGATTGAGCGGGGAATTGGTGATGTAGCATGTCCCATTGAAGGTTGTACCTCTGAATGAAATGCAGCAACAAAGTTCACCATGAAGGCGGAGATGACCCCCACAGGCACTGACGGCTGTCTGAGAGGATGGTTTGATGGGAGGTTGACCCAAGGTTCGCCAAGTCTTTTTCGACAGAATGGTGATATCTGATGCAGTGTCCAACTGCAAACGAACTGGCTGACCATTGATTGAGAGGGTCAGAAATTTGCGTCGAGTCGCGGCATGAGTATGGAAGACTGCTGCTAAACTCCTTGATGAGGTGATCGGCTTTTTGTGAAAACGACGCTGCGTCTGTGCATTTCGACGGTTATTGGATCGGTTGGATTTGCAAAAGCCGCTTTTGTGACCAACTTTCTGACAGCGATCGCACACATGCTGTTTGAATGGACAAAACTGCACATAATGCCAGGCTCCACAGTGCCAGCATGGAGAGGGGGGCTTCTTCTGAGCCGGTTTAGAGTGATTAGAGACAGAAACAGCGCTGGCGTTCGAAAGACTCGAGGTCGTCGATCTCGAAGATTTTCTTTGGTGCTGAACAGCATGAACTTCGGAACCACCCTGGCCACCAGATTGAACCAAAGTGGTGTCACGCTGCAGATTGATGATGCGCTGGTACTCGTCTATGATCGCATTAAGTGTCAGTGTTGGATCTTGTTCAAGGCGGTTAAGCAAACGAGTTCTGATGTCGGAGAATTTGGGTGACTGAAGACTGCATATGAGTATTAGGGACTTGAATTGGTCTTCAGTGAGGGATCTGAGCTTGAATCGTTCGCACTCACGGTTAACAACGCCGACGTGGGTCAGGAAGTCATCGGACTCATTCATGATCAGTTTTAAGCAGCGATATCGAGTACTGAAGAGTGAGTGATGATCACCAAAAAGTTGGCTAAGGGACTGAATAGTGGCGTCGAATGAACGGTCGCGTGGGTTCTGCGGTAGAATAAAGTTGCAATACTTATCCAGCTCGGATGGACCAAGTTTACGAAGTAGGAGACGCACCTTCCACGCATCATCTCTGTCAGCAAAGTCAACTTTGAAAAGGTCTTCATAACGTCTGAACCAGGTATCAAATGTAATGTTGGCATCAGGATCATAAAGGAATTCTGAAATACCACTGGTAATACCATCAACTGATTCAGGAATTGTCGGTGTAGTTGGAACTCGAGAAGATATGTGCGTGTGAGCAATCATCTCCATCAGCTTCAACTGCTGTTCGAACAATTTTTCTAGTTTGGCTGGATCCATGGTTAATCACCGAATTCTTTGCTGAATCCCCGTCGCCAAATTATTGTGTATCGCGAGGTGACTACTCTAATTTCTACCGATTGACTAGCTTCAGATATCCCAGTTCGACCCCAATACTGTTCCCAATCTCCAATATATCAGAACACGAACCGTAGATGAGAAATTGTTTATGGGGTCAGGAGCCGAATAATGATTTACAAACAAATGCATATTTATACAGTTAGGATTACTATAAATATTGACCAACAGAAAGATAACACGTGAAATAATATTGACCAATGGGGAAATGACACGCGAAATAAATATTGATTAGTAGGGAAACGTCCAATAGGAAAATGACACCATTTAACGTTCAAGGGTAGCATTAGACTTAACCGGATAATTGTTTTTGGGATATTTTTCTGAATATCCCAACAAAAGTGAAACTTCTCAGTGATTCTGCGTTCAACCTCGAGGAACGTGTGGTCAGGGACTAATTCAACTACAAGTTCGCTCTCTGTGTACGTGTTGGAACAGAGGTTTAAGAATGACATAAATTGTCTATGACACATAGGTTCGAATATCCATAACAAGGTATTATGCCACGTTGGAATTTGAGTCATTTTTTCTTCCTTGTTTCCACGTAATACGTAGTCCCTTTGCAGCCAGAGTGAGCCATCCTAGAATATAAGGTGTTCTCTGATTGTGACTTCACACTCGTAGATAATGGCTAGAGAGAGAATTTTTTGGGAAGATCGTTTATGAAATCATAATAAAGAGCCCTAAGAATTTTCTTTGTGAGATTATGGATGATGAGACATCCGAGTTTGTGTGCCCTTTCTCTACCATGATAAGAAGCCTTTGGTTCTTCCAGTAGTATCTGTGATATATGTCAAATAGGACAATGGAGCCCTTATTCAAAATCTTGGTTACAATGGTGTCAATTGCCTCTGTAAATGCAAGAAATACTACATGAACTGTTGCTTTCTGTTCGTAGTATGTTTCTTGGGTTTCCTGTGCTGTGAGAACACTGAAAGCTCAATATTTACCTTTCTAGACCAATATTAAACTTCATTCAAATCATTATTTCCTCATTCACTCCTTCATCTTGTTCTGTGTTTATAAACACGCCTATTACACTGTTTGCGTATTTCACGTCTCCTTTATTTCTATTCTCTTATTTTCTCCATTTCCTTCTTTAAACTCAATTCAATATTCTTCTCAATTACACAGACCCGATTTATTATTATTAATATTCTACTATTATTATTCTAAATTTTTTTTAATATTTTATATTATTTTTTAAATATGGCAAGTATAATGCTAACATTATTGAAAATTGTGTATTATTGAATTTTCTGGAGAAACCCGAAATGGTTTCTTCACAACACTTATGTACCCATAAGATGTTTGTGAATAATAATAATAATCTGATTCTTAACCAGCCCTGAACATATTTGGTAACAATATAACTTTTTATTCTCAGCTTAGGCCTTTATTGTCATCTAATTTGAATATTAAAGACATTGAGGATGTAACAGGTATTTGTAATTTGACAACACTTTACCCAGCAACACGTTGCATAATTGGATCGTGCCCACCCAGTGAAATCTAAAGTCAGAAGTGAGGACGCTCGAAGATATATTTGATAGGCCACTGATATATTGAGAAGTGACTGATCTAAACTCCTTAGCTATAGCAGGAGAAGTTGAGCACGGCATTCCCACTTGTGATCTGGCGCGAATGCGAGACCGAGCGCCTTGAGCCAGGTGAGACCATTAAAACTAATATAGTCAGCATCAAATGTCGAGGAATAACAGAGCTATTGATTTCGGGGATTTATTTACCGCTACAATATAATAGAGTGCTTACACTTTTTCCGGTTGACTTGGTTTTACGGAGTTCACAAACATGGTATATGCCAGTATCCAGCTGATTTTCACGTATCGTATCAAAAATACTAAAGTAAATTTTATCAAGTTCTGGTAACTTCCTTTGTCTCAAAAATTTCAATTCCCCTACTAGTCAGGTCCTCGATGCTTCTGACACGGGTGTTTACCAAGCACAAAGGACTAGTTTTGTTAGAATATGGAGGATGAGGTAGTTTGCAGAGTCTAAGTGCTGTTGTTTTATGCACAGTTAGATGAGATGATAGCCACTGAGACACGCATCTAATCAGAGACCGCGCGGCAACTTCAGATCTCATGTATCACCATTCTTATGACTTTCGCCATATTTTGTCCGGTCATGTTTTAGGTACTATTCTGAGGTTTGAATTTCAGCTGAGTTCGGGAACCTTACCAATCACTTTATTAAGGAGTAAAATGTATCTCTCCGTCCAGACTGTAGTGGACCATCTTCGATTTCGGGGGAGTAGAAGTTCATGGGGATTCATGTAGTAAATAAAGCTTGAGAGGCCAAAGTGGAACTGTCAGAAGGCAGTATTCAAAGAGGCAAGTAAATGAAGATTATACAAGCGTGTAGCATTGGGGATCCTAAGCAATAAAGCCGTTCGGGTGAGTGATTTCATGTGGTTACAGTAAATGTCTTGCGAGGCCTGTGTTTGTTAGAAATTGGATGGAGAGATATCTCAGTTGCATCAACTATGAGGGTAGTTGATGAACACATCTAAACTCACAATACAGTGAGTTAGTCTTTGTTTGATCATGTTCGCAAAGTTTACTAATGTGGTTGTTTACCAGCGAAAGAAAACGCAACTAATTTTTCGGGTTTTCCTTATTACCTTAAATGACAGGTGAAAATGAGTAGTATCTAGCGATTTCAAAGTACCAACTTTTAAAAGAAAGTGAATGATAAAAGAATTAATGAGATTAAAGCTGGAACTTGGATTCTCATTAATATAACAAATTGTAAATAAAAGAAGAGAGACTAGTTGATTTTAGACTTTTTTTAGCACAAACCAAAATATAAATAATGTGATAAATTGATCACTTGAACTTGTAGCAGTTCATCTTACATTCCAGTCCAGTCCATTCTTACCTACTTAGCTCTGCCAATTAAATGTGTGTTTATAATTTTGTTTGGTATTTATTGACCTTCCCATGTGTTTGCTTCTTCATAGCCCTGTTATTCATAATGTGATCTCTATGTGTTTGTTTCGTATGTGTCTGTCGTCTATGCTGTAGTTGGCTATCTGCTATTCACCTTAGGTAAAATCTGAGTCACATATTTCTCGTGTTCATTTCCCTTTGTATGTAATATATATATCGGAAAATTAACTTATATGATTCTAATGTATAGTCAACGTAATATACTAAAAGTTATTCAGGAAACACATACTATTAGCATTTTCATCGTTTCATCTTAATGAAGTCAATAATGTAGACTAAAAAACCGAAAATTTGAGAGAGTTGATCGTGTGAAACGTGTCTTGAAATGCTAGACTACAATGATGTGATTTAAAAGATAAGCACTTTCCAGATAACTGATCATTCTTCCTTAGCTGTATTTTACATTAACCAATGAAGATGACATTTACAAGCCAAGTTATTACGTAAACAGTGGTCGTGTTCTGCTGTCAACATGGTAAATATTTGAATCAACACCATGGGAAAGATTATGCTATCTTCGTTTAGTCAATAAGTACATTAAAACATGCAGAGTTTTTTCTCATATGATTGGTTTATGTCCTCACAGTCACTGTAATTTGTGGTTGTTCAGCTGTAACCTTGTTGGCTAAAAATTTAGACACTGATAATTCAGTTTCGAAAGTTAGAGAATAGTTTGTAGCGGTAAATAAATCCCCAACCTAAATAGCTCTGTAAGATTTCGACATTGGATGCTGACCATATGTTTTAGTGGACTCATCTAGCTGAAAGCGCTCGGTCATGCATCCGCAATAGATCACGTGTGGTAACTCTGTGCTCAACATCTACCGCAATCACTAGCCAGATTAGATCAGAGAACTCCGATATATTGGTAATCGCCAAATACACTCTTCCGATCTCCTTGACTCTGTCTTTCGATTTCTCACGGTGGGAACAAATTATATTAGAAGGTGTTACTGGTAGAAGCGTTGTCAAACACTGAATACCTGTATCATCCTCAAGTTCAACAATCGAGGACATATTCAGTAATACTAAAGACTTCGAAATAGTAACCAAACTAGATCTTCTCAGTTATTAAAGAGGTTGCAGCCGCATGATCGGTCATCAAAAGGCTATAAGAAAATTCTTATCAGACTTTCGATTTTAAGCATGTGGGCATGAAGTGCTTTGGAAGGTAACAAAGCCATAAATTTGCCAATGGATAGTTGACAGAATTAAGATAACTCGCCGTGAGTTCATGGACCGATGTAATACAACAATATTGAATTTGATAATGTTTTTTATTTGCATATTGAATGTTGTCTTGCTCTTAGTTCTCCCCACATGCTTTTTCATTTCCTAATCCACGTCCGTCCCCTTTCATTGGTCGCTCAGCCACACAGTGGACGTTTTGATGGGACAGATCGATTCACTTGAAAAGTCACTCACCCACGTAAATCTATCGGGAAACTATATAACAAATGAGCCATATTTCTTCCCAATAGTAATTCTCAGTTATTCGTAACGTGTATCCATGCGCATTTCGTAGGAAGCCTTTCTATGTCGCTTTCGCTAGACTGAATCGGTGGCAATTGCTATATCCTAGTTCTAATCTAGGACTTGAATTTCATTGGAGTAAGCCGTGTCATAAGCTTTCCTTTGAAAGTTCTTCCATTAAACCGAATCACAGCCTTTTTTATAGGTTACTTTGAACAGTTGTGGATACCAGTGTAAATCAAATATATACTTACCTCTATTTGCGACAACGAAGAACCTAATGGATGCAAGCCGCTCTTCCACTAGATAGTGTCTTGCTTCAAGGTATTTTACACAAACTTTGTTTTATCTCTCATATACAAATGACTTTTGTAAGCACAAAATAACTAAAATCCACCTATAATTGGTAATATTTTACATCTTTCACATCAAATATGTGTGACAACTGGTCCTGGAGAACCTGTTTCGTCAAAAACCCAATTTAAAGATGTGAAAATCAAAAATCATTTCCAAATGCACAAAAAGCTCATTCGATTTAGGCTGCTAGAGCGAATAATTGCATATGTATTTTCCAGTTGACGGGTATGGTACTAAATGTTGTAATTGACGGAGGTTGAACTTTGGATATGGTGGGCTTTTGATTTAGGTAGTGTTTTAAAATTTTTTGGGAGTTTTCAACGTTTATCTGGACACTAAGCGATTTAACTGAATTCAATCTATTAAGAGGTAGTCGTCTACTTTTCAACTTAATTTACTCTAATTCCTGATTAGATGCATAGCGTGTTTTGAATAATATTGTTCAAAACATCATGCTATATGAAGGCTAGTAATTCTAGTATCTAGGACTTTTGCACTGAAGCCTATTTGTTGCCATATTTCACATGCCGACCAATTAAACTGTATAGGAATGTGGAGATTATTGACAGTAAACATCCTTAGGCCTCGTAAATAATCCCATGTGGGATTAAGTTGTGTAATTACGTTCATCCACATTGCTAAATATCAATATAGTTTGTATAAGTTCGTAAAAAAAGCTTCAACCCTCATTCCTAACTCCTAATACTGATTCTAAATTTATTGTAGACTTATTAAGCCATTGAAGCTTCTAAGGGTCACTTGAATACCGTCCATAGATTTCTGCACCACCAGCATTCTTCACAAATAATACTCTGATGTATAGGGTACGTTTCACACCGTTCATAATAATAGCCTTCACAGGAATTGGTGTGATTGGGTTTATATGTCCCTTACGTTGTAAATTCCGTAATATATAAGCGTGCAAAACTCCATCACTCGATAATCATATTCTCAAGAAAGTTAATAAAATAGTCCTGCAATTCAAAACGGTATCTTTTCTCCCATAGTACACAAGATTTTCCCCTATTAGCGTGACGCTAGCCCTTTGTTGAAAGACATTCGAAACTTTCTACTTAGTATTACCTGGTTTTCAGTACTGTAAGCAATATTTTTCATAACCAGAAAGGTTCTTGGCTTTCAGATACTCCTTTTTGGGACTTTGAATCCGAAACAAAGTGTCGAAGCAAAGTTAGATCTTCAATGGTTCATATAATGAGCTATCATTATCACAATGTCGTTAATAGTCTTACGGTGTTGTCCCGATGCAAAATCACCTTTCTCTTATTTAGCTTCTTGGTTGATATATATGAGGTAGCTGAATTCCGAAACACGAAATTCAGTGATTAAGACGGACCAATGTTTTATCTTGTAAATAATTTATCGTTTCATCCTTTGATTTTGTGTATTTGTTTATTGTCTTAAACTGTTACGTAGAAGTAAATCGTTCATTTCGTTTGTTCTGTAGTGTTCATGAATCAGTGTAGGCCGGTGACAGTGTTGTTGATGGAACTCGAAAGTTCAGTGTATTGTGGTATGTTTGTGTAGTGATTACATCAAGTCAACTTTTGTATCATTATTTGCACGTGGATCGTAACTATTGCGAAAATGGTGGTAACTTTGAGGTTTGGTAATAACCCTGTAGTTGATAGTGGCTCAAACCGTAGAATGTATCGAAACGTTTAGAGTGAGACAAGTCATTGCACACTCGAATCTGGTTTTGAAACAATTCATGTTCGTGCAGGTCAACATCAATTAGCGGTCAAACGCCATGATAAATCCCCGCTAATATCAATTTGTATGGACAACTGTGGACATTATTTATTTATTTATTTATTTCAACACATAGATAATGGTACAAAGAGGCACCAAATACATATGCGCCACACAAATCTCATCCGATATGTGTGAGGGCTGTGATACTGCCCGGGTGCCCAAACCGAAGCAGGTGGTTATCTTAGGGGGCCACACCCCGAGCCTTCAACCTGAAGGTCTGATCCACAAGGCAGTGGAGCATCGTAAGGAGATGCAGTCCCATGGAAGCCGGTGACCATCAATTGGTTCATTCGCCATTTGTTCCCGCAGGATACTGGAGCCCATGTGCACCATTGTTTTGGAATCCGGTTAAAGCGCCGGACGTTCGCTTTTCGTCCTCTCATTTTCGTAAACAACACCCCCGCCACGAGAAGGCAGTGAGTAGGACTTCCCTGGCAGAGGCTATATACGCGTGGCCGTGTGAGAGTATTTCGAGAGGGAGAGCGGACTCTCCCCACTCTCGGCCGTACCAGGGCATTTGGGGGCGGTACCAGGGCATTTGGGGGCCGTACCAGGGCATTTGGGGGACTGTGGACATACATTCGACTAGGAAAATGTTGGGAACTTAGATAGAGGGAATCCTAAAATCACCAGAGAACCTTTAGAAGATTGGCGCTCAAGTCAACCAGCAATCAACAAACACATTGAAATCTAGCCAATTTATCAACCAATCAGGAAAATTGTAGACAAATATAAGACCAAAAAATCAAATCAATGGGAGATACAGTCGAAATAAAGTAGACAACGACAGGTTTAAGGTAAACAGTAGCCAATTAAGATCAAGGTGTACAAGACAGGCTGGGAGTCTTATGTAAAGAAATTCGAACGCTTCACTTCTACTTGAAGTTTGTGCTGCTGATGTTGTTCAGAAGAACGATGAAAACTCTACGACCAAACCATTCAGTTCAAACTTTTCTGTTCACAAGCCTTATTTTATGAAAATCTTCAAGACGTTATTCGCAAAACTAACTCCTTTCTTGTTACAAGAAAATTCCCATCCTTTCTTAAAAAATAAGATAATTGACGATCGAAACCAGTCAGATGAAATTAGGTCCACTTTCCAGACCATAGCTAGTATTTCTCTGGTGACACTATAATTTATGTACTACCTCGGAGCGACTCCGAAGTGACCTTGAAAATGTCCACCTACTTGCTAGGGCTAAATGTGAGCTATAAACGTGTGAGGAATAAGGACTATGATTTACAGTTGATGGTTAGGGTTAGGAATTAGATTTAGAATTTTCATCACGAACTGACATAAGATAAAATGCCGAAACGCTCTTTAACCAACTAAACGGATAGATTTCGCGCCGAAATACAAGATCTGTTATCCCAAATATGATTGCTTCGTCCATAAATTATAGTCTCGTCGTTTTGTTCAGTTTGGCTACCAAGACTGGACTACTGTTCTCAAAAACCTATAGATTCTGCCTATCAGAAACCGCCAATTTCTCTCGGTTTAGGTCAGCTTCAGCCTCATTAAGAACCGACAGAGTTGCATGTTAGACGATGTATATGCCTAAAGTCAGTGATTGCTAAAAATAAACGGTTGTTTAAGTATATTTGTACCATAAGTGTCTATTCACTGAAGTGGAACACTCTAAGACTCACTTGAATGTCTTTCAGTTTGGTTTAGACTACCTACTCGGACATTAACATTAGCTGCTACGATTACTACGTTTGACGGTTTATGCCTCTTAAGGTTTGAAGGCTTTCCGTAGAACTTATCACTTTATCCAAACTGCAGTCAATGGGTGTGTAGACTGAGCCAACGTCTTAAGATACGTTTCGGGTAGAGAGTAAGTAAGAGGAGGGTTGATAGTAAGGAGAGGAGAAATATTAGGATATGAGGGAGGAATTCAGTCGTGAATGAGGTGGTTTAGGTTGCTGTTAGAGCTGTGTAGGTGATTGTCTCTTCCTGGTTGCCAAACATGTGGAAGGACACTTCTTCACCTAATAAGGGCGAAAACTGGATTATCAGTAGCGTCAGCAATCTGATAGCATAACTATTGAGTAAAAGGACAGATACTTGAAGCCAATCACCCAGGGTCTTTTTTGGTAGTAATTGTTGATAATTTGAGTTTCTGTATGTTTAAGGCTTTACAGGCGGCAAAGGTAATCCATCGGGCAAATTAAGGTTTGTGGACTGATGTCACGTTATGGTTTGGCCACCCTTAACTTCCATCCGTCTTCGACACTAGTTAACACTGTGCACCGTGGTAATCGGTGGTTAGGCAGGCGTAAGCCCCCAAATGCCCTGGTACGGCCGAGAGTGGGGAGAATCCGCTCTCCCTCTCGAAATACTCTCACACGGTCACGCGTATATAGCCTCTGCCAGGGAAGTCCTACTCACTGCCTTCTCGTGGCGGGGGTGTTGTTTACGAAAATGAGAGGACAAAAAGCGAATGTCCGGCGCTTTAACCGGATTCCAAACCAATGGTGCACATGGGCTCCAGTATCCTGCGGGAAGAAATGGCGTATGAACCAATTCTCGGTCACCGGTTACCATGGGACTGCATCTCCTTACGATGCTCCACTGCCTTGTGGATCAGACCTTCAGGTCGAAGGCTCGGGGAGTGGCCCCCTAAGAAAACCACCTGCTTCGGTTTGGGCACCCGGGCAGTATCACAGCCCTCACACATATCGAATGAGATTTGTGTGGCGCATATGTATTTGGTGCCTCTTTGTACCATTATCTATGTGTTGAAATAAAATAAATAAATTGCTTACATGGTGATCCCAGCAGATGCAAGCAATATTTCTAATGCATCTGTGGTGGAATACTAGTAGCTTACGAGTATCCTCTACTCTTAATGGCCACGTTTCGCAGCCGTTAAGTAGAACTGAACGAACTGCCGCGCAGTATACTCGTCTCTTAATTGATAGACGGATATCTGGCCTTCGCCATAGGTGACGTAAGTTGGCAAAAGCCAAACGAGTTTATCGAATCCGTGCAGAGATTTCGTCAGACACCAACCCATTATGGGTGATCAGACTTCCAATATAAATGGCGTCAACGCTTCGCTCCCTATCCTTAGTTCAGATGTTGATGCAGGTCAGTCCTGAAGTGAAAGCTTGCATTTAGAGGGGGAGAAACGCATCCTGGCATTGTTGCTCAGTGCTACCAAAAGACTGCATTTTATCAGTGTCTTTACCAAACAGGACTATGTCATCTGCATATTCTAAGTCGATAAGTAGACCTCCTGGTTAGAGATCGATTCCCGAAAGTTCAGACAGGAACATTATTTTCAGCAGTAGGTCTATGATGCAGTTAAACAAAAATGGAGAAGGTGGACAGCCTTGCCGGACACCACTTAAGGTTGCGAAATCAGATGACAGCTCGCCATAAGCCCTGACTCGACTAGTAGTGTTCGAGTAAAAAGCCTTCACAAAGTTCATGTACTTCTGAGGTATGTCTTTCAACGACAGACACCGCTACAGAACCTACGGTCTACAGATTCAAATGCTGCTTTTTATTCAAGAAAAACTATCATTGTTAGACGCCGATAAGCATGACTGTGTTTTAAAATCTGACGAATGGTGAAAGTGTGGTCGATGCAGCCACAACCAGGTCTAAAGCCATTTCGCGTATTTGCATGGCGATATACAAGTTAGATATTAATGGTTTTCTCATCATATCTAGCAGATTAATTTATTTTACATAATTTTTCTTCTAGATGTCATCTGAGAGGGGAAGCCTTTCTGAAGTTCAAATTAAACTTGTGGGTAAGTCTGAGGTACCATTTTTGCACATATGCTATGCACTTACTTCACATCAAATGTAAAATAACAAATTAGATTGTACCATCACTCCGGAAATTTTCTCGAAGACAACGTGACATGTAATATATATATATATGTCTCGATCTGAGTTGTTACAGTTCGTTTCGTTTGAAAAAAAGCGAATTAAGTCATCAGTTTTTAATAGTACTGTCTGAAATAGCGTCGCTCGAACGTTCTCAAACGCGTTTTACTTTCAGCTGCTGAGTATCAGAATCAAATCCCTCTTTACCTATTTCGGTTCGGCTAACTAAGTAATATCGTTAGCCTTCACATTTAAAGCTTAGCTTGGTGAGTGAGGCAATCAAATTTTAAAAAACAACTAATTAAGAATATAGTTACAAATATCTAATTTTTCATCGAAATCATAAATTGATCAAATTCAGAAAACTATTAAAAACCTGAAAGCACTGGACGGCCGTTTCATCCTAGTTTGGAGTTCCTCATCAGTGCACATCCACGACCCCACAACATGGAATCAAACTGAGGACCTTCGATCTGACACATGAATGCTTAACCTGTAGAACTTTGAGCCGAGACTGTAGAAGTGTAACTTGAATCAATGAACAATATTGCAGGATGATTTTCGATCGTGTTAGTTGGGCGAATGTCTCATACTGGAGATGGATTATCACCACTGATCATGACTTTTCACTAGAACTCTTTAAATTTCCTCTCGAAACTAGTCATTAGTGAGCACATGAAAAGATAATAGAAGATTGTTGTGCGGTATCGTGGTCTGGTTGGAGTTGGACTGGAAAGAGGTGGAAAGGGTTGCCCAGGACATGGTTGAATGGAGAATGGTGGTGAGCGGCCTATGCTCCTTCACGAGGAGTAACAGGCATAAGTAAGTAAGTAATCGTGGTCTGGTTGGATTTGGACGTCAACACCGTTAGATACCAGCTCAGTGGTCTAGAAATCGAGCGTTCGGTTTCTGTGTGCAGAATCGTGGATGCGCACTGCCAAGGAGTCCCATACTAGGACGAAGTACTCGTTCGGTGCTTCTTGGGTGTCAGTGGTGGTCTAACATGTATCAGTTCATGATATCTATGAAATTTAATAATTTCCACAATCCCATAACGAATATTTAATTCTCACGTCATTATTAGTGTAAGGGTTTGATAAATTATGGCTAACAGTCTCGATCTGAACATCAACACTACAATCTTGGTCGCCGATAGAATGGAACACACTCTCATTATTCCACTATTAACCATCATTCATTTATTTCATATGCGCTTCTCTGATTTTTAATTCACATAAAACATCATGATTACAACGTACCAAAATCCATAAATTCCAATAGATAGATAAGTAGGTTGACTTTTTATTGCAAGAACTGAGCAACTTATTGTTAATTAACTCAGTTAGTTATCGATCGTTAAATGATGTAACAATAATTAACAAATCGAAAAGGGGTACAATTGACAGTTAGGCTTATATGAGATTTTCATTAAACAAGTATTTGATTTAATTACTTATCAGTATTATTCGGCTCAATTACTACTACCGTTATTCAGTTGTTATATTATCCCTTTCTCATTTTCCTCCCTTAACAGCCAGATCTGCATTTGTGTGCGTGTATGTATAACTGTTAGTTTTCATTTAGATTGTTGGAAAAACAGTTAACAGGACACAGGTTTTTTTTCGTCTTGACACTCGTTAATAAGCGAAATGTGTATATACAGTTTGCAAGTGAACACTGACACTCCCTTCTCTATGAACCCATTCAGGTCACACAGTTCAGTAGTCAACCAATGTCATATTGGTTACAATTGATGCTGTAACTTTTGATGTACGTTGCTTTTAAGTTTTTTTTCCAACCAATTTTTATTTTAATGACGTATAACTTATTTCAGTTAAACGTGCACATCTTGATCAATCATTGGATTGGAATTCATTGGCTAGAGTACAACTAAACAAGTGTAAATTTAATTTTACTGCTGAAGTTCTACCACCAGGAACATCTACTGTACCAGCTATAAATTCTATTCCATTCTATGTAACTCCTATTGTACGTGGTCCACGTCCTTATTTCGATCAAATTGTCAGTTTCAAAGCTGATGTTGATAGTATTATAGAATTTCGTCTTTCTGTACGTGATAGTAAACGTGATGAAGGTACTGAAGTTGGATATGGTCGATTTACTGTTCGTAGTGTTGCAGCTACCAATGGGAATCAATGTAAGTTCAATTACTGCCCCTTGTCATTATCATCGGTGTCTATCATCTTCATTTCTTATTTTCTTTGTGTTGTATATACATGATATTCAAACAACTACTTGGTAGTTTCTGGTTTCAGAAACTCAGTCAATTTGCTAAGCTGTCGCAAATCAATTTGTAATCGTTTTTAAGTTTTCCCATTATTGATATTTTTTAAATTTTAATCCATCTTAGTTCGCACATGTATGCATACTTTGTAGGTTGCCTCCATATGGCCATTGCGTCATAAGTATTTATAGTGTTTAAAGCGAGTCTTACTTATTTTGGATTGTGAAGTAGACATCAACTCTGAAATGCAGGCACATTTAGCTGACGAGTTTAAAATCGAATGCAATATACGTCCTGGATTTCAATACTAACTACATTCCATCTATTCTATATAGACTTGTCATAAAATGACTATATTGAGGAATACATGCATATCCCAAATTAGACTGATTCAAATTCAACCAAAAACACCTGTAATCAATTTTTTAGTATGCGAAAAATGTAGCTCATACTATTAATAGGTAATAATGTACAGTTTTTTAATCACTTCAAGTGTCCATGACGTTGTCGTTGAGAAATTTGCCTGTAAAATGACTAGGAAAAAAGCTTTATATCTATCATCTTTTCAATAAATATACGAACTGAACTACTGAAGTTGTTGACCATAGATATATATCAGGAAATGATCAATAATATGTGACTGGGAAGCACCCATTACATTGAGTCAGTATAGCGTTGATCTCTTGTTTTCACTCTGTTCCCAAAAATTGTTTTCTAAGTGATACCTTATATATCATATCCGGTTGTTCAAACCAAATTAGACGACGTTCTGTTCCTTCAGCTATCGTGGGTTTTGTTTTTCCGTGTTTTTGAACCATGGCTACATCCCTTACTTTTGATGAGGGTACTACGAAAAAACTGTGACACGGAAGTAAAAATGTCTAGGCTTAAGGTCACTTGGGTTTTTCGATGATCAAGTGGAATGTCAGAAAAAAATCTAAAGGCTGCGTGGGAAAGTTGTATGATGCTGTTCACAGCTCATGCTTGTATATTAGTTTTGTAGATTGACTGGGACATATAGGCTGTATGACCTTTGGTACTCATGATACCTTCATTCACAATAGCATGTTTCACCGTGTAGTGTCTCTCTGCCGTTGTTCTGTAATAACCTCTTAAAAAGTACTTCTTCCTTACTAGTTGCCTCACCTGTATTGGTTAAGGTAAGGACATATTACTACTGTTATCTGAATTCGCAGGCAGTAGTATGGTTTCTCTTTCCAGTCCGACTTATCGGCTAGTTCACTTATATCGCCAGGAGAACCGGTGACCTATTTACCAATGAACAGCAACAATTTTAACACTTATCAACCGTCAAGTTCATCCTAACTAAGTGGCCAGTCAAAAAGCAAAGGCAAAAAGCAGATCAATTCTCTGTTGTACTCTATTCAATTGTGACTCAAAGTTCATACAAAAATATACTTGAAATGTTCGATCACATAACAACATTATTATAAAATTGCACTGTGTGCATAATTAAGATATAAATGATACAAACCGGAGTAATAGGGGAATAATTAATTATTGGTCAATGTGGAACAATTAAAGGTATGATAATGATTTATAGATTGAACGAAACCTTAGAAATCGAAAATGATTATAACACAACAGTTCAAGCCTCTAATTACTAAACAATAAAAGGTTTAAATAATAATTCTGAATATTATAATCCAGTGGCTATATTAACTCAATAGTTACGTAGATAACGTGGTGGCGTTCGAAGCTAACCGTACTAGGTTGGAGTCCCCTAGTAAACATCAACTCTAGGGTGGAGGTACATACAGCTGAAGTCCCTAATAGGATAAAACACACATCTTGAATTCCACTTCTAACCACCATTCATCTCTACTTAAAATGCTTGTGACTTAGTGGTAATATCGAGGTAGTCCGTACCGGATGGATCAATTACTGTCCTAAACATCAATCGGAAAATTCAAACAACCAATATAATACACCTCATTATGATAGTTTCAAAAGTTATATTTCAACACTATTCACCCAACTATATCAGTTATTGAGATACATATCTTTACAATAGATTGTTAGATGGAACCGAGAAAAAAAAAGAAGAAAACTCACCATGAAAACGTTGATTATTTTATGCTTAAATCACATTTACAATCATTGTTTTGTCTTATTGATTCTTTACATTGAAACTTTGATTTCAGTATTCTTATTTTGTAATCGCTAAATTATTTACTATTTAATAACTTAACAATTCTACTTTGTGAGAATATTCAATTTTGAATACCTAAATGTTCATAGACTTGAATATCTATAAATTACTTTGATCATGATAGTCATTTTAGTCAGTCCAAATAGTTCATATCCCATACGAACACTATAAATTGACATTAAAATAAGGATGGATATTTAATAAGTTGAACTAAACGTACGAGCATTGATAATAAGTAGCATGTTTAACCATGTTAAATATTTGAATTATAATTTAGTAAGATATAATGATAAATGGTTTGTTTGTACGAAGGAATACTGGAATTCGAAATCTAAATGTGGGAGATACAACATAAGTACATCTACAATTCTAACTCACATCACTAGGATAGTATTAATAGTAGTTGTAATAGTCGGTTAGTCTCATTGTTTTTCACACCATACATTTGATGTATAATTACTTAATTCTTTGAATTTGTTCAGATTTTTCTAAGTTGCATTATTACCAACTACATATTAGTTGTTGTGTCTCTGTTTTCTTTCAGTGAGCAATTTGGCATTTTCACAACCAATTAAATCACTTCCGTGGTTGCATAATTCTACTATTTCTTCATCGAGTTCATTAGGTAGTATTGATTTGTCAATTTCTGTACCAATACGTGAATTAAGCAGTGCATTATTAGCTCAACATTTGTCTAGATCAATATCCAGAATAACTGCTAATTCTGTAAGTTAATCATTTCATAATGTAAGAAGGAATTTTAACCATCTTTCTTATTTCTTACAGATTGTGATTACTGATATATTTTGAGATGGTTAAAAGAATTTTATCGTGCATTGAAAGTTCATTTCTAAATTAAAATCACGAACCGACCAAACTATTAAAAACTTGAAAGCACTGGACAGCCGTTTCATCCAAGTTTAGAGTTCCTCATCAGTGCACATCCACGACCCCACAACATGGAATCAAACTGAGGACCTTCGATCTGACACATGAATGCTTAACCTGTAGACCTTTGAGCCGAGACTCAATGAGTGTAGAAGTGTAACTTGAATCACTGAACAATATTGCAGGATGATTTTCGATTGTGTTAGTTGGGCGAATGTCTCATACTGGAGATGGATTATCACCACTGATCATGACTTTTCACTAGAACTCCCTAAATTTCCTTTCAAAGATAGTCACTAGTGTGTGTATGGTATTGATCAGAGTGGGGTTGTTGAATGTCATTGAAATTACGGACCGATCCAATTTCAAGTTGAAAAACATGCAGATAATTTCAACTGGCGATAGGAATTCGCCTTCACATTAGGTAAAAATATTTCTGAGGTTCTTTTGAGGAGTGTTAGTGATGTGTGAGGTCATATCAATTGAGGGTGGAACAATAAACCACCATTAAATAAGAAACATTACAATTTTTATTATCATGAATTTAGTGAAGTGAGCATGTATTCCATAAGCGTCTAACAAAACGTGGTATCAGCCCTTGAAGTCACCAACTTCTGGTCTGAGCCATGTTAGTAGATGCAGACTACTTGGTTAGGGTCCGCGCGACTATCGTAACCAATGGTTGGAGAATTTGGGTCACATGACTCAGAATCGATCACAGTGGCGTAGGTGTAAAAACTTTCTGCCTTAAACCGTGAGATCAAAATTACTTCATACCTTTCTTTCTACGAACTAATTCTTTCTCCCTGTATCATATCCTTATATACAATCTCTTTAAAAAAATAAATATTACTACCATTGAAGTAACTGCTTCTATGAATTTGGTGTTGATCTTGTTGTGCTAATGAGGTATGGCAACTTGGACCGATGCATATATGTGCCTGGTCCTACGTCGTAGCTAACTGACTGTCCATAAGCGTTCTAGATTCGGTCATGTGTAATGATCATTTAGACGCATTGTCTTTTGTTTAATTGTAAAAAACACCCATCCAGCTCTTCCTAGTTTTTTTAAATAGAATATCTAGTTCACGCTGATGATCAACAGGAATTTTGCACAAAACGTTTTTCACAATACTATTTAATGGATAAATATTAATGAAGACATCGTCATCATCATGATCAGGAACTTCATCAGAAAAGATCGCATTTTTCTTAAGTATTCTTCAATAGATTTGAGTGTCCATTTTTTTTGCATACATTGAATAAAGTACACCGTAATATAGAGTTTAGGGGAAAAGGTTAATCTCATTTGTGTAATATTTTATATCGCATTAACATGTAAATGTGTGTTTGTGGTTTTTTATTTATTTATTTTAACACATAGATATTGGTACAAGGGGGCACCAGATACATATGCGCCACACAAATCTCATTCGATATGTGCGAGGGCTGTGATACTACCCGAGTGCCCAAACCGAAGCAGGTGGTTTTCTTAGGGGGCCACTCCCCGAGCCTTCGACCTGAAGGTCTGATCCACAAGGCAGTTGAACATCGTAAAGAGATGCAGTCCCATGGAAGCCGGTGACCAAAAATTGGTTCATATGTCATTTGTTCCCTCAGGATACTGGAGCCCATGTGCACCGTTGGTTTGGGATCCGGTTAAAGTACCGGACATTCGCTTTTCGTTCTCTCAATGTCGTAAACAACACCCCCGCCACGAGAAGGCAGTGAGTCGGACTTCCCTGGCAGAGGCTATATACGCGTGGCCATGTGAGAGCATTTCTATAGGGAGAGCGGACTCTTCCCACTCTCGGCCGTACCAGGGCATTCAGGGGCTGTTTGTGGTTACAGTTTTATGTTTCTACTATGTTGGAGTTGTTTCCTCTTTTTAAATTATTAAGGGTTTATCATTGGATGTAAACAAGTAATTTATAATATAAATCCTAGCTGGGATAATTTTAAACAATTGTTTTTCAACTATTATTAAGTCATGGGTTCGAATTCTATTTCGCTTATTTTAGAACAATAAAGCAGTAGTCTTATCATTACTTTCTTTTCCCTCAAAATATATAATAGTGTGAATAAAAGTTAGTTACATAAGTTTGTAGCTTATCGGTCGTAAAAGTTTGGACAATTTGTAAAATTTCACAATTATTACAGAAAACGATAAAGAAAAACGGAGTAGTCGAAATTCTAATCATCATTTCAATCAGATAACAATTCTATCTATCTATCTATATTACTATTATTATTATTATTATTATTTGAACACATAAATATTGGTACAAAGGGGTACCGAATACATGTGCTCCACACAAGTCATTTGATTTATGTGTGGGCTGTGGTGCCTCCTGGGTGCTCAGGCTGAAGCAGGCTGTTTTTTTAGGGGACCACACCCGGAGACTTCGACCTAAAGATCTGATCCACAAGACAGTGGAGCAGCGTCAGTAGATGCAGTCCTATGGTAGACGGTGACCACCAATAGATTCATACACCATTTGCTCTCTCGGGATACTGGAGGCTATGTGCACAATTGGTTTAGAATCTGGGTCTCCCAATTCCTTTAGGTGGACTCTCCGTGTCCACCAACCCGTTTAAAGCGTTAGACATTCGCTTTTCATCCTCTTAATTTCGTAAACACCACTCGTGTTGCGAGAAGACAGTGAATAGGACTTCCCTGTCAGTGGTTGTATGCACATGGCCATGGCCCAGAATCGATCACATTGGCGTCGGTGTATACACTCTCTGTCTTCTCTTAAACTAAGAGATCAAAATCGCTTCATATCTTTCTATCTACGAATTAATTCTTTCTTCCTGTACTATATCCTTATTCCAATCTTTCTTTTATATATTACCACTTCTGAATCAACTACTTTTATGAATCCGGTGTCCATCTTTTTGTGTTAATGAGGTATGGCAACTTGGACCGATGCATATATGTGCCTGGTCCTACGTTGTAGCTGACTGACTGACATGGTCATGTGAAAGCATTTGGAGAGGGAGAGTTGACACTTCCCACTCTTGGCCGTACCTGGGCAAAAAATTAAGTTTCAAACAATATATATGAACAAAAAGGGTGAAATAATATTGTTTAAATTCAAGGTTTATAGAAAGATAAATAAATGTGTCTGTACTACTGAAACTGATTTAAAAATCCTTAATCAAATATATAGCAGTTATTTAGTTATTGTGAAAATTTATATTGAACCCATATTCTTATCCTTTTCATGTAATAGGCACAATATCGGTTGAATTAGGAGTGGGTTAGAAGAAAACTAAGCGGAATTAAAATTAACCATAGGTTCAGTCCACGAAGTCATTCACTGTAGGAATGAACCATGTTGGTAGATAACGAGTACTTGATTATCATAAACAATGGTTAGAGATGTTATGCGATGTGATGCAGAATAGATCACAGTGGTGCAAATGTACTCACTCCTTATTGTCCTTTAGATGTGGAGCTTTTAAATCATTTCATACTATTTATGCTATTGATTCATTCTTTTCTAATCACGTTGTCTATTTATAAACTTCTGTTACTCTGACATTGGTCTTGATAATTTCATCTGTCTGCTTATTATGTTAAGTGACAACTTTAATCAATGCGGTATTGTCCAAGATTTTACATCACCTATGACTAACTGGTTAGATTAATAAGTCTACTTATAATTTGTAACAACAGTCAATTGAGCTATCGTCTTTGATAACCAGAAAGTTGTCTACATTATTTTCACCATAAATTGGTCACCAGTTTTGAAAAACGTGGTTTATGTTAGAGCCTTTTTAACCTCATTTGTTCCATTGTGGAAAGACAGTATCGCTAAGGATGCTAGGTATTTAAGGGGAACACTCTATTGATATCAGATTCATGTAGAATCCGTAATACAAATCCACTGTCGTACCTTAATTTTGATGCTCTTAGTTTTGCCCCCCTCTCTCTCTCTCTGAATGGTCTATCTGGGATTGTGGTAGTGCCTAAATCAATGGGTGTTTCATCTACGTTAATTTGATTGAGTCATTACAATATCCTGTCCCAACCATAACGTCAAGTTAGTAGCTGCGATCGAGCTGTAAAATGAAGCTTTGCTTACTCATTAAAAATCGCCACTTTTAACCGTTAAGCTAAATATTTAAATCCTGCTTCACTCGCTCTGATTTAGGTACCTTAGTAGTTGTAATGAGTATCACTGACTCTTACACATCAAAAGCGTGATTTAAAGCTGAGTGCATAAACTTGTACTTCAATAATGCGTTATTTTATGCTGATCAATAGTTTGTATGGGTTAATAATTGGTCTTTACCAAACAAAAAATGTTTTGATGTTCATCTAAATCATATGGCAAAATGCATGGTTTTAACTGCACGATTGCTGTCATAAACTGATGTCATAATTTTGACTTCATGTTTCGTGATGTTGACTACTTGTCATTGAGCCGTACCTAGAATTTCTAGGCAGCTTGGTGCTTCACCCTGTGAGATTCAAACTCGTATCGCAGTGTATTGTATTAGGGCCGAGACCAACCTCCTGTAGGACTGAGATATTCATGTTCCGTGGTCAACAAGACGTACCTGCAGTCGTTAAGGATGTAACAAGTACCAATCCGGTTTTAGAAAAGGGTTTCCTTTCGAGTAATCCCAATCACTTGATATCAAAACAGTGTGTGCAATATCAAGCCACTTAAATCATTGGCCTCATTACAGCTTGATTGATAGAATTTGATCAGCACCAAATAACTAAACGATCATGACTTCAGTCACCACGTTTACTCAATAATCAATCCATTAAATTTCAATTTAGTCATTCACCTATGATAAGCACACGTTTTTAAAATAATTAAGTATATCGCTTCGATCACTTTGCCATAGGATAGATAGGTAGTGGTAGTTTGGTGGATGCTACTCACAAAATTGCTTGTAAGTAGTGTGTAGCGGAACGTGGTGTCGAAGTTGCCACGGTTGTTAGACGTAGAGTAAAGTTTCTGTATATCGAATGCACTGTGCAGACAGAACACCTAATGATGAATAGACGAGAAGATAGTTCTGATTGCAGAACACACCTCAAGGTACAAACGGACGATCGAAGGCTACGTATACGTATTATGTAAAGGCTTTGTAATTTGTCACAATAAAAAAATTCTACCCATCACCTTCCTATACCGCAGTAATGGTGCTTATAAGTGTTTCATAACTTCATCGCAGAGCTTGCATCACATTCGTTCTGATATACATATAGTGAGCCAATCTGAAGTGGACAAATGCATATCATTCTCTAAGAAGTGGATCAGTTTTCTAAGGGGTAGAAATGTAAACACATAAACGAGAATTTATTCATATTGTCCTGTAGCCCAAGAGGCTTCGTCTTCCATTCTTGTGTTCTCGCTCAAGTCGTCAGTTTTCTTGGGGGGAAGGGGTCGGTTAGTATTAGTATCAGATCTCGGACACCGACGATCATAACACGTTCCATACGTGTGTGCGTTTGTTAATTGGTCAGTTCGTTCACCTTTTTTGTTGTCATGTGAATTTATTGGCTACTGATCAGCTTATTATTAGAATTGTAATGGCCTATAAATTGATTTCATTTGTTGATCGATATTTCCTACATATAATTTTAATCGGCCCTATATATGTAATGTTTTGATTGAGGTATTAAATGAACTAGCTAGTGTGTACTGAAAAAACATTAATTAAAAATCTACTCATCTGTTATGGTGATCGAATAATTTTATTGTAATTTTTCTTTGTCCAAGGTTAATGGTCGTCATACTTCTGGATCACAATCAGAATCAACTTCAGGTATTACAGTAAGATCACCGTCTGCTGATCGTACGATGAATAATCACTTGGTAGACAGTGGTGGCGGGGTTGGACCAACTTTAAACCCATCTGCTAATCACAGTAATAATAATAACACAGAGAATGCCGATGACTCCTCGTTGCCACCTGGTTGGGAAGTTAAATATACTTCAGAAGGACGAATATATTATGTGGATCATTTAACAAAAACAACAACATGGTGTAAACCTACTCCACTTCCGCCTGGGTAAGTTCACCATTGGTTTTTTTCTTTGCGAACGGGTTTATAATTGGTTGACAAAGTGCTACCCTACCACGTGTGTGTTTGTTTATATGAAGTAGTTAGTGTGCCAGTATGGTCCATAAATACGTATATATATTGTGTTCGGCTTTTATTGAATTACACTCGACACGAACACTTGTAAGGTATGGAAATTGGATAAAACATATAGCATTTGTTCCAAACAACTCAGTCTATGAAAGGTTATAGGCTTCGTCAATCAATTTATCACCTTTTACTTAGTTCCCTACATTCTGACCTCAGTATTAATCTAGACAATCGTTTATTAATAATAATCGTCATATTTGTATGTGAGTCGGGACTGCTCCACAGACGCTCAAACCCATGCCTTAGATACAGAAGACTAATTCATAAGTCAGTGGATCAAAATCAGGAGATATAGTCCCATGGTAACGTGTGGCTAAAGTAGGTTCGTTCGCCATTCATTTCTTCACGATTCTGGAAGTGTTTGCGCCATTGGTCCAAAACCCAGATTTTTACAGCTACTTTAAGTCATTGGTTACCATGGGACTACATCTCCTAACTTTGCTCGTGCCCCCGAATGCCCTGGTACGGCCGAGAGTGAAGAAATTCCCCCCTCCCTCTTCAAATGCTCTCACATGACCACGCGTATATAGCCTCTGCCAGGGAAGTTCTACTCACTGCCTTCTCGTAGTGAGGGTGTTGTTTACGGAACTGAGAGGACGAAAAGCGAATGTCCGGCGATTTAACCGGGTTGGTGGACACGAAGAGTCCACCTGGGGGAGTTGGAAAACCCTGATTCCAAACCAATCATAAATCATTCTTTTTCTGTATCTATCTTCTGATTGGCTGAGACGTTTTGAAGTGTCAAAGTCGTTTCCCAGTATAGCCCAATTTTACTTTGAATAGAATTTTGTTAAAAAGAAACTTGTATAATTTGAGGAAATTAACATTTAAATTCTTTTAGAAGAGACATATTTTTTCATTTTTGTTATAGATGGGAACGAAGAAGAGATAATGTTGGTCGAGTATATTATATCGATCATAATACTCGAACTACCACATGGCTTTGTCCAAATCCAACACTTTTAAATACAGTACAAAATTATCAACAAATGACTGCTTCACGAAATGGTATTATGCAACAACGAATGAATGAACGTTATGCGAATGCTGTTTGGAATTTAGGTGAATCAGAACCACTAGACGCTAGTTCACGAACAAATACTACAACTGGTGGTGTAATGGATCCATTAGGTCCTCTACCAGCTAACTGGGGTAAATTTATCTTTTTTTTTTAATTGCCGACTATGTATAGAAATAGTTTGGTTTTATGAAAGTTTGAGAAGATATGATTGGTTTGTCTAAAGTGTAATTCGATTGCTTCAACCACTAAGGCATTGTGTATCAATAAAATGAGTAACGCTCACTTTATTTTCAATTGATTGTATAGCACCTATTCGGAACCTCTTATACGAGTGTGACTACCGTGGTCTGGGCAGCTGACTAGTACCGATCACTAACCTTCGAGGATTTATGTAAAATGTGACTGGTATGAGATGTGAACGAACTTGTACAATGTGTTTTGCACTAAAAAATAGTTCCCTGAATATTAAATTTATCCTTGTAAAGCATGAAACCAACAAACATAAGTTCTTAGCCGAAAAATCATCTCACCAGAAAAATTCTTAGCGACTTTGATTTTAGTCGTAACAAAATAGAATAGATGAAATGTAGCTAGTAGTGGAATACAGGCCTCACATTTCGTCCTATTTGGGACTTGTCAAATGAGTATACCTGCATCTCAAAGTTGACGTTCACTTCGGGATTCAAACACTGTAACTGTAATTAATCTGATAACTCGTTAGCGTCTGAACTGAAACGATCAATCAACAACATGGTTGTAGCTCAACGGAACAAAATAGTTGACTTAAGTATAAGGACAGCTGAAGATAATGAAACCTGATAGGATGACCAATCACATTCAAGGATACCAGAACAAACTAGTCTAAAACTCGTGGAATAACTAAGATGCTGATGATGTTGTCTAAAGCGACAGTGAAAGCTCTGCACTCAAAGCATCTAGCTCAGAAGATTCAAACCACACTGAAAAAAATCGGAAAGTGCTGGATTCTAGTCCCAGTGTGCACATCAACACTTTGATTCAGGTGTATACCTAGCCGACTGATGACTCACATGTGGGACAAAATGACCGTTGTAGATTCCACTGCTAATCACAATCCAGTTTTACATCTATGTATTCTTTTAAAATCCGAAAAATCATCATTATTTAGGTAGAAGTGTGTTTATAAATCCTTTTTTTTACCTTCTTAGAACGACGTGTCGACATATCTGGCCGTTCGTATTTTGTTAATCATGTTAGTCGAATCTCTCAATGGGAAGATCCTCGTATACAAGGTCATCCATTACCTCCTGGTTGGGAAATTCGTTATACAACTGAAGGATTTCCATTTTTTGTTGATCATAATACTAAAACATCGACATTTAATGATCCCAGACGAAAAGATGCAAGGTTATTGCTTTTATTTTTTTTCCGCTATTATTTGGTTCTTAAATCCTAAGCTTTGAAACAAAATACTTCCAGGCAGTCATAACCGCGTTGTTTCGTTTCTAGTATAAGGGATTTGTGGAGATCGTTGTATTTTCACAGTTGAAATCACAAATCCATTTAAGCTAGACCACTACTGGAAAACGTAGAAGTACTGGGCAACCATTTTCTTCTAGTATGGGACTCAGCAGTGTGTATTGACAATCTAAATTCTTGTACCTTTCGGTGTCGCACGTGAGCGCTTAGCCTCCAGACCACTGGGCAAGCATCCAATAGTGTTAAGCTCTAACCTCAGTCAATCCATCATCTTGCAGAATTCTTCATTTATTGTATGAGGTGGATAACCGTCTCAAACCCGATACGGATTGAGCCCACTGGTCACGGATTGTCACTAGGATTCCAGGAGTTACATCTTAAAGCTAGTTGCTAGTGAGTTCATGATTTGTGTTAGTATGGGGGATTGGTTGTGCAATGTTTTACGTGGTTCGGCCGAGGAGATCTTTACTAGTATGAAGATCTATATATTGGCGTTGTAGTTGTATAAACATTCATTACTAGGACCAAAGCATCTGAAACTGGTGCTTTGTAGACGCACTTATATCAAGCTAGCTGAGAAACGGACTTAATTGCTAATCAAATACTTATCTCTCAATCTGTGATTTGCAGACTCAAAATCTTATGAGGTTAGCAGTGGAATCTAGAGCTTTTCTTCTTTTCGCGAGTTGTTAACTGGATACATCTAGACTCTAATGTTGATGTACTCCCAGTAGCTATTGCTCAGTGGATAACGCCTTTATTTTACAGGTACATCAAACTGACGAGTCCCGGATGGGACGAAATGCGAGTTTTGAATGTCACTGCTAGCTAGGATTAACCTTTACCATTGTGGCAATATCGATGTAACTCGCTCAACATAAACATATGCGAATAGAGACTTACCAATTGGAGTCCCTAATATCAAGAATAAAAAAATCACAAGCCCGTACTAATAAAATCACTGCTATTACATTTTTTTAAACAGTTAATTATCAGTGTAGGAGTTTGTAGAGATTATCGAATATTGTTGAAATGGTAAACCGACCTAAGTTAGTCAATCATTGAAAACCAGGAAGCACTGAATAGCTATCTCGCTCTAATATATGACTTTTCTTCAGTGCACATTAATAACTGATTCCAAGAGATAATTGCTTTAGTCCTAGTAAGTTGTGATTACTGATGTTCAACCATGTCGGGTGTACAGCATTTACTAACCGAAAACAATGGAAGGTGATCGCTCAATATCACCAATTGATTGACGTTAGGCATGTAAACCATTTTATCCCAGCTTAATAGTATAAAGGTTAAGTGACTGCAAGTTCCTGGTTTCGATCCTCGGTGGCAGGGTCATGGATGAACACCTGAGAAGTCCTATACCAAGACAAAACAGATGTCCTGTACTTTCTGGTTTTAAATAAATGTCTAAATTAGATCGGTTTGTGATATCAATAATATTAGATCTAATTATCTTATTCTTAATTTTCCCTCTATTTTTCTTTATTCAAATATCAACAGTGGGAACATTGAACAAGCATGGTCATTTGAAAATAAAGTCGCCAGTTTCCATTATCTTTGTCATTCAAATTTAGTGACAAAAAATGTAAAAGTTGTTGTATCCCGTAGTAATCTTCTAGTGGATTCATTTGAACAAATTATGCGATTGAAACCACATGAATTACGTTGTCGTTTGTTCATTTCATTTACTGGCGAAGAAGGTTTAGACTATGGCGGGTTATCACGGTATGTGTAATTCGTAAAGGAAAATCTTCATCAAGCTTATGTATATTTTTTAAATCACCTGTAATTTTTTTGTTCATCTTGTTATTACGTTGATTGAACTAGGAATATATTATCCGCTTATTTAAGCCCGTCATCCCTCTTGGAGCATAGGTCACTGACCAGGAATCTCCAGACAACTATTCTGGACTATTTTTTTGGATTTTGCCAAGTGCTATACATCTTTTTGATGTCTTTCCAGTCCCCAGAGTCATGTATTCTTTGGTTTACCACTTTTCCTTTCGTCTTGGAGATCCCAAGTTAGGGTTTGGTGTGTTGTGATACAATTTGGTGGTTTCCGTAATGTATGTCTTATCCACTTCCAGTCTCTTTTCCTCTTTAAGTGAGAGTTGTTGTGTTCTCTGTCACAGCTGGCGATTGATAACGGTGTCTGGCCAACGGATCTTGAATATCTTGCGTAGACAATTGTTTATAAATGCCTGTAGTTTTTTATGTTGTTTGTAGTAGTTCTTCATGTTTCAGCATATTTTAGAGATCAAAAATGCTCATTTCGAAGTAACTTGGAAATCATGCCTTCTTCAGTAGTGTCAACTTAAATTTATATTTATTGCTGCTTAATAATTTGTATCGATTTGATGATTCTTATAAACTAACTGGCATGCATTTTGCACTATTGTTCATATTACATTGTTGTCAGTGTATTAACAAAGTATTCAATATATACACCATGCTTACCATCGACTCACTTACTATATGCGTCTAGTTATATTTGTTTTGACATGCGGTGTTTGAGAGCTGATACCAACATACAATCTTCATGTATACGAGCCACACTTACTCCTCAAGCGATATATATACATATATATCCCTTGGAAAATCAAATCAATATTGTGTATTCCACCCCTTAGAAATAAGGATCATTTCTTGACGAATTGCATATGCTTATCATTTGGTCGATTTCTGGTTGGATTAGTGTTTTGATTTCTAATATGATAGTTACTTACTTACTTACACCTGTTACTCCTCGTGAAGGAACATAAGCCGCTCACCAGCATTCACCATCCAACCCTGTCCTGGGCAATCCTTTCCAGCTCCTTCCAGTTCCCATTCATGATTTTCATATCTGCTTCTATTTCCCGACGTAATGTGTTCTTTGGCCTTCATCTTTTACGCTTCCCTTCAGGATTCCAAGTTAGAGCTTACCTCGTGATTCAGTTTGACGATTTGCGTAATGTGTGTCCTATCCATTTCCATCATCTTTTCCTAATTTCTTCAACTGGAAGCTAGTTTGTTCTCTCCCACAGAAGGCTGTTGCTGATGGTATCCGGCCAATGGGTGTTGAGTATCTTGCGTGGACAGATATTTATAAATACTTGTACCTTCTTGATGATGGTTGTAGTAGTTCTCCAAGTTTCAGCTCCATACAGTAGAACTGCCTTGACGTTGGTAATGAAGATTCTCACTTTGATATTGGTTGAAAGTTGTTTTGAGTTCCATATGTTCTTCAATTGTAGGAATTTGGCCCTTGCTTTTCCAATCCTTGCCTTTACGTCTGCATCTGAACCTCCTTGTTCATCGATGATGCTTCCCAGATATGTGAAGGATTCTACATCTTCCAGAGTTTCGCCATCAAGAGTGATTGGATTGCTGTTCTCCGTTTTGAATTTGATGACCTTGGTTTTTCCCTTGTGTATGCTGAGGCCTACTGATGCAGAGACTGCTGCTACACTGGCTGTCTTTATCTGCATCTGTTCGTTTGTATGCGATAGGAGGGCTAGGTCATCTGCGAAGTCGAAATCGTCTAATTGGTTCTGAGCTGTCCATTGTATTCCGTGTTTTCCCTCAGATGTCGAGGTCTTCATAATCCAGTCGACCACCAGACGATAGAGGAAGGGAGACAGTAGACAGCCTTGTCTGACTCTGTTCCTTACTTGAAATGCATCTGTCAACTGTCCTCCATGCACGGCCTTGCGCTGTAGTCCGTCATATGAGTTCCGGATAATATTGACAATCTTCTCAGGAACTCCGTAGTGTCGAAAAAGTTTCCATAACGTCCTCCTATCTATACTGTCAAATGCCTTTTCGTAATCAATGGAGTTGATGTACAGTGACGAGTTCCACTCAATGATAGTAAAATGACTAATTCCTTCTCCATTCATAACCTTCGTCACCATAAATTTCTCGTTTTCTCTAAATTTTTTTCAGGGAGTGGTTTTTCAAATTATCTACAGAATTATTAAATCCAATGTATTGTTTATTTGAATACGCTGGTGGTAATAATTATGCATTACAAATTAATCCTGCATCATCGGTTAATCCGGAACATTTGGAATATTTTCGGTAGGTCTATCGTGTTGATTGTGGTGTTGTGTGATGTTTAAGTTGTGTTTTTCTTGTGTGTAATCTGTTAGTTTTTGGTTGCCTTATGTAGAGAATCACAGATGCTTGATAATGATTACCATTCAGTCCAGACCCGTTGTACAAAGTGAACTCAGCAGCTAAATAGATAGTGCATTGGGCGTTTAAGTCGAAAGGTACTTATTTCGGATCTCTGAGTGAATATCAACCCTGAGATGTAGGTACATTCAGTTGACAGGTCCCTTATTGGACACAATACACATCCTGGATTACATTGCTAGCCATATACCATATATTGTATGATTATCGTGTCTGTAAGTTATATGCAATTCATTTTATTTGTGAATGTATCAGTCAGTCATAGTTAATTTTGAGCTTTGCGTAAATATGCTTTAACCCAAGTTAGTATACCATATCAACGCAAACAGATGAAATCAACTTAATGAGTGTTAGAGGAGTCGAAATAATATCGTACCAATTCGAGAAGACCGAATAAAAAGATGTGTATCAATGAGTATTTGAAGTCAGGATCTAGAGGGAATAAAAAGAGTAAATGCATCTGCACCACTGACGAATTCTTAGTCATGTTATCCAACGTTGATTATCACATGAATCCTAATCAAGTAGTCTGCTTCTGCCTAGAGTGCTCAGATCAACAGTCAATGATTTAATGTACTTAGTTTTCTTCAGATTTGTTTGTTCACTAGCTAATTTCATAGATCGAAGTAAACAGTGATTAAATAAATGTATCACATGTCTAATTCATTTCACTCGATGAAGATTCACAATTTTAACACAAGTATTCATATTGCATAGGATACCAATACAATCAACTACTTCATTTCTTGTGATCAATCTAAGAGATAATCAATTGTAAAGAAACTATTTACTTACTGCCTATTTCAAATTAGGTAGAGCGATGAATTAAAACTTATGATCTATCTGTTGATAGTCGACTATTTTAATAATTATGCTTATAGCTTCACATTTAAAACCACAGAATAACTAGATAGAGAGTAGAAGAAGATATCATTTAAATTGAATTGTTCCAAGAACTCATGTTTTTCCAAATCAATTCAGAAACACATACTCATGATAGTTCTCTTTGAATAGTTTATTCTCTTATCAATTTAATGATTGGTGGCGTTTTTTACAGACAAATCATCGTTTATGTATAAATGTTTATGATCTCTCTGTCTGGGATTACTATGCATAATAATATAGGCTTTCTTTTTATCAAAACTAACTATATGTATCGATAAGAATTGAAAGTGAAATTTGTCAATATGGTAAAAAAAATACCTTGTTTTAAAATCAATTTAATATGTATGCACAATAGTATTTTTTTGGAAATTCCTTATTAATGATAATTGTTTCATTTATAATACTAAATACTAAAGTTTTCAGCTGAATTCTCGAGTCCATATGACTTAGACCACTACGTGAGACTTGAACCAAGAACCCTCGGTCTTGAGTATGCGATCGTGGATGTGCACTACTGAGGAATCCCATACTAGAGCAAAACAACTGTCTAGTGCTTCCAGATTTTCAATGGTGGTTTAGCTTAGATCGATTCGTGAATTCAACTTTAGAAAATACTACAGTCTCCACAAATCCCCATAATTATATTTCATTTTCGTTATATCATAAGTATCATGGAGTATTGTTATGAAACTTTTTCGAAGAAACCTACTCGAGTAACCTATTTTTAGAAGCTATTATATTTCTTATGCCAGTTGTGACTCTAGTAGACCAGTGGTATCGTCTCAGGCTTTGAAGTTGAATGATACTAGTTCGAATCTCACTTGGGAAATAATCAGTCCTCTCAACATTAAAGGTTCACGCCTTGCTAACGATTGTCAATTAATATAAAGCCTAAGTCGAGCATGGTTTCTTGTTACCCGCCTCTAACCTTGCGACAGTTCTGAGTTCACTTCTGTGTCAGTAATCTCTTTGTTATTTGTATATAAACTGTTAAACTTATAGGTAAATTATTTTACGTATTATTACCTTCTAGTTTCTTTCAGTGTATTCAAATTGCAAGTGTTACAGGAATTTAGGGTTTAGTTAGAAAGTACTCAGTATTTCAGTGTTTTTAGACGTGTTGAAAGGGAAAGTTGTTAGTGACTTTGGAAATTTTCGACAAAACAGCACCAACAGTATCTGGGCCATCTTTGTTATTGTCGTGATGTTAGAAAGTAAAATGTGGTTTTAAAACGCCTGCATTGAGAGCAGTTCTGTTCCATGTTTGTGAAATCTGCCCGTCCGAACAGAAAATGATTAACAGCTCATCATGTTTGTTTGTTGGTTGGTTGGTTGAGCTACTGTCCAGACGTCCGAGCAAAAGCAGATGCTTTTCTTAGGAGACCATACTTCTAGCCTTTGAATTATGTTTCTAATTTACAAAGCAATGGAGAAGAGCCCCTAAATGCCCTGGTACAGCTCTCACATGGTCACGTGCATACAACCACTGCCAGGGAAGTCCTATTCATTGCCTTCTTGTAGCGGGGGTGTTGTTTACGAAATTGAGAGGACGAAAATCGAATGTCCGGCGATTTAACCGGGTTGGTGGACACGGAGAGTCCTTCGGCCTAAAGGTCTGATCCACAAGGCAGTGGAGCGAAGTAAGGAGATGCAGTCCCATGGTAGGTTCATACACCATTTGTTCCTTCAGGATCCTGGAGCCCATGTGTACCATTGGTTTGGAATTAGGGTCTCCCAACTCCCTTAGGTGAAGGTTCCGGGTGTGGCCCCCTTAGAAAACCACTTGCTGCGGTTTGGGCATCCGAACAGTATCCTAGCCCTCACACACATCGATTGATTGGTATAGCGCATATGTATTTGGTGCCTCCTTGTACCAATGCTTATGTGTTTAAATAAATAATAATGTCACGAAACATAGTCCAATGTTAGCTTGTAAATAAAATAGGTCCGTTCAGTATTCGTTTCTCCAGGATCCTGTTAAGATGCACATCATTGGTTTATAATTGGTTTCCCAACCCACCCATATAAACTTCATATTCATCAACCTGATTTAAGCTTTGAACATTCACATTTTGTCGTTTCAGTTTTATAAAAATAATACCCCCACTACATGGAAGTAGGGGCCCCAAACCTGAAATTTAATGGCCAACAGTTGAGAGTATCTTAATCATTGTGCCCACTCTACAACAAAATAATATGTGTATGTTGACTATATGTTTTACTTCAAATCAAATCATCATTATCATTATTATTTTATTTTCATTTTATCTTCTCTTTTCTATAGATTTGTTGGACGATTTATCGCTTTAGCATTATATCATTCTAGATTTATTGATAATGGTTTCACTTTACCATTTTATAAACGTATGTTAAATAAAAATATCACTTTAGCTGATATTGAAACAGTTGATGTGGAATATTATAATTCATTGAAATTTATTCAGTAAGTTTCTTGTCAGTTTGTTGTATATGTGTGTTTCTGTAATTATTAGTAGTAGGATTAGTATAGGGTTATAGAGATTGTTGAGTTGATATCATGAACCGATCAGTGTTAGACTATCATTGGATACCTGGAAGCACTAAATGGCTATTTCATCTTAGTTTAGGATTTTCTCAGCAGTGCACATCCATAATCTCTCAACTGGGAATTCAACCCAAAACCTTTCAGTCTAGCTCGTGAATTCTTAACCTTTAGACCACTGATCCGGGACCCAGTGGTGTGCAAGCCTAACTTCAATCAATCCACAATATTGCACGACAATTTTCGATTATTTTGGTTGGGTATCTGTCTCATACTATACATGGATTACCCCACCGGTCACCACTTCTCACATAAATATGTTAGCCTGATTTATCAAATTAAGACAAGATAATATTAAAAAGGCGAACGGCATTGGGGTCGTAGTAGCGACGATATTAAAACGACTTAATATTAAGAATACGATTGCAAAAGATGGAATGAAAAGTCATGTATAATGGAACGTTTTAACTCAAGATTTAGATCAAGAGTGAATGTATCTGAACCAATATGACCAGTTCTGAGTCATATGATTCAAAGTCTTTAATAATTACATTCACCCAAACCAAGCGAGTCTGTGTTTGTCAACATCCTTCAGACCAACAGTCTACGACTTCATGGGTTCGTACTATGTTTGACCGCTCTTACCATTCTTCCAACCTACTCTTGCTCTAGCAAATATCTCACGTTGAATTATGGTATCTGTTGGGTGTAGATAATACACTTCCCATCCCACTCACCAACTGGAGATTCTTTACCTACTCAACCAGCTTTCCATTTATACCTAGTATACCCTGCGTTTAACCTGAACACTATTCATTCGATGATCCTAACCTACTTGAACAATCTTTCAAAGGTATCTATGATTAAAGCCAGTAGCCTGCGAATAACCTCTATTTTCTAAAGTCACATTTCTAAATGACCGGTAGTTTGTTCACTGTATGTTAGTTACAAATTAAAATAGGTCGTTATCACACAATTTACATCGTTTAATTCGATCATTGGTGCTACTGCTTAAGTTATTATTAGCGGAATGATTATCTCACCTGACAACTTGGTCTTTTTCTCCTAGAACATTCAATCGATGCGACCAAGTAACCTTATTTCTTTTGAAAATAGATCACTAAAAGGAAACTATGATTAGTAACAGGGACATACATATAGGGACATGTAAAATGAAAATTTCAAATCATACCGTTCAGTGATCCTTTTCATATTGATTGAGATTCCGAAATTATCAAGTTCATTTGGATTAATGTGATACCTCATTAAGGTCAAGGTCTTGTATTCAATCTTAGATAATCCTAACGGTTAAATTCAGAAGAATCCCAAAGTCTATAGGACGAATAAAATCAACTGTGTTATTAATCACGATAAGTACTTGTTTTGTGAACGTTTTTATCTATCCACTATCGCTAAATTGTATCATTTTTTTCCATTGTGAGATGACATGTTCTCTGTTTTAGCTTTAACTTCGATGAGCCCATTAAAAGTACAGAGTCTACTAATGAAGGAAGAGTTCACTGTATGATAGCGACCAGATATTCTTAAATTTAATGATCCACTTAAGTTTATTTTCATTTTAGACTGCTCAATTGTAACAAAAAAAATAGCAAACTAACTTACATTTTTCTATTATTATATAACTCAAAAACTCATATGATGATAATATTACATCATTTACAAAATCAATAAGCAACCACGAACAGAAAATCGAAATCTGTACATAATTAGGTCAAAGTCTAAGTAATAAATTAATAAATTTTCTGACTGAACGCTTGAATTGGTTATTATTTATTTATTTCAACACATAGATAATGGTACAAAGAGGCACCAAATACATATGCGCCACACAAATCTCATCCGATATGTGTGAGGGCTGTGATACTGCCCGGGTGCCCAAACCGAAGCAGGTGGTTATCTTAGGGGGCCACACCCCGAGCCTTCAACCCAAAGGTCTGATCCACAAGGCAGTGGAGCATCGTAAGGAGATGCAGTCCCATGGAAGCCGGTGACCAACAATTGGTTCATTCGCCATTTGTTCCCGCAGGATACTGGAGCCCATGTGCACCATTGTTTTGGAATCCGGCTAAAGCGCCGGACATTCGCTTTTCGTCCTCTCATTTTCGTAAACAACACCCCCGCCACGAGAAGGCAGTGAGTAGGACTTCCCTGGCAGAGGCTATATACGCGTGGCCGTGTGAGAGTATTTCGAGAGGGAGAGCGAACTCTCCCCACTCTCGGCCGTACCAGGGCATTTGGGGGCTTGAATTGGTTACTTAAGTTCTTCTAATGACCTCCATGTTAAATCTAATTGAACACGAGAGAAAAGGTATGAAGTGTGGAAAGGACGCTTTATATCAAAATTAGTTTACATACGGAAAATCAAGGTTATTTATAGCATTTCAGATGGTCTTTGACTTCTGAAACCCTATTAAACATAGTAACAGAATAGGTAATTATCTAATCAGAAATGTGACATGTGACTCTTCACTTTCTAGATGTCTATGACAAACATCTATTGAATACTGATTGGATAAAATGTTTCCCAGTGTTCTCAGGGTCCCTCTAGACTTTTTTCAAGGAATGGTTTGAATCTCCTCAACACAAATGGATGATTTATTAACCGTAACTTTTTTTAATGTAAGAGATTTAACAATATGTAAAGCCTTTAAACGAAAATTTACTACTAAAGCTGTATAGAAGTACTGTAAACCAAATCTTTAATAAGCTCACAATAAAATTATATCAAAATAGGTAAGTTTGTGAGGATTGTTACATTTACATAGTCTGTCTCGTGAACTGATCTTATCTAAATAGACCATTGATGTAAACCAGCTATTTCGGTCTTGTATAGTGCTGCTCAATAATGCATACTCAGAATTCTACCATTAGAACAAAACACTTCCTCAAGGATCGATCCTAGGAGCTTCAGGTATCAAAACAATATTTTAACCACTTAACGTGCATCCAATGGTGTTCATGTATAACCTCAATCATTTCGAAATATCGGGGGCAACCATCTTCCATTATTTGCAACAGATAATTGTCTCACACTCGACATAGTTCGGTTCATGACTAGAACTCCTGAAATCGTTTGTGAAAGTTAGTGATTAGTGATTACATGATTGTTTTTCGTATAGTGGTTGTGTTTGTGATTTATGGTGATATTAGAATTGTCATAGTTAACACTAGAAACTGATCTTAATTAATCAGTCATTGAATATCAACTATCCAGTGCTTCCAGAGTTTTCACTGAAGATCTGGCTAAGATCACTTAGTGATTTAAACTATAAACTTATACGTAACATTCAACGTTTTTTCCACTTATTCATCCATATATAACAATGATTCACCTTCTTAATTTCCGAATTCATCTGTCTTAATTGTCCAATTTATTAGTATTGTGCTACTGAATAATAACTTTCGTGATTGTTTTTATTTCGTCCTCATTACATATACAAACAAATAGAGAGAATAATATCGATGAATGCGGATTAGATGTCTACTTTGCTATGGATTATGAAGTGTTGGGTGAACTACGAACGCATGAATTGAAACCAGGCGGTAGAGATACTCTATTGACTGATGCAAATAAAGCTGAGTATATTGAGTAAGTTTTTTTGTGCACTTCATTATTTGTTTAGCTTAGCTCATTGTAATTCAATTTTCAATCAATTTTTTACTTCTTGTCGTTTCCAAGTGGTTTGGTTTAATTATTTTGTCCAATTATTGATGACATTAGATGAAATTATGGTTGGAAGTAGTCCACAGGAAACCTTGGACCTAGGTTTTGTGCTATTTAAGACTTGTCAGCAAAGTGTACCTGTAATCTTGATGGAGCTGATGCTCCCTGGCGAATTCAAGCCCGTGTCACCCAGTTTCACAGTCAGAGACATTACCACTGAGCTACTCGGGTCTTGACCAACCCCCCGTAGGAATGAGATGAATTTACAATTGATTGATCATTACCCAGTGATCGATCTATAGTTATCATTATAACTCAAGCACTCATGAATGTGTACATATACATAAATTATTATTTATACATAATCAAGACATATGTTTCAGCTTACTTACTTACGCCTGTTACTCCCAATGGAGCATAGGCCGCCGACCAGCATTCTCCAATCCACACTGTCCTGGGCCTCCTTTTCTAATTCCATCCAATTCTTGTTCATCTTTTTCATGTCTACTTCAATTTCTCGGCGTAATGTGTTCTATGGTCTTCCTTTTTTCCTTTGGCCTTGAGGATTCCATGTGAGGGCTTGTCTTGTGATGCAGTTGGGCGCTTTCCTCAATGTGTGTATTATCCACTTCCAACGCCTCTTCCTGATTTCTTCCTCCTCTGGAATCTGGTTTGTTCTCTCCCATAGTAGGTTGTTGCTAATAGTGTCCGGCCAACGGATCTGAAGTATTTTGCGTAGACAACTGTTAATAAACACCTGTATCTTCTGGATGATGGCTTTCGTAGTTCTCCAGGTTTCCGCCCCATACAGTAGAACTGTCTTGACATTTCTATTGAAAATCCTGACCTTGGTGTTGGTTGACAGTTGCTTTGAGTTCCAGATGTTCCTCAGTTGTAAATATGCTGCTCTTGCTTTGCCGATCCGCGCCTTCACATCTGCATCAGATCCACCATGTTCATCAATGATGCTGCCCAAATATGTAAAGGTTTTTACATCTTCCAAATCTTCTCCGTCAATTGTGATTGGATTGGTGCATGCTGTGTTGTATCGGAGAACCTTGCTTTTCCCTTTGTGTATATTGAGACCTACTGCTGCTGAGGCTGCTGCTACAGTGGTCGTCTTCTCCTGCATTTGTTGTTGCGTTTGGGATAGAAGGGCCAGATCATCTGCGAAGTCCAGATCGTCCAACTGCATCCTAGATGTCCATTGTATCCCGTGCTTCCCTTCAGATGTTGACGTCTTCATGATCCAGTCGATCACCAGGAGAAAGAGAAAGGGTGAGAGTAAGCAACCTTGCCTAACACCGGTCTTCACTTCGAACGAGTCTGTCAGTTGTCCTCCATGCACGATTTTGCAGTGTAATCCATCATATGAACTCTGTATGATATTGACTATCTTTTGAGGCACGCCGTAGTGTCGAAGAAGCTTCCATAGTGTTGTCCTGTCCACGCTATCAAATGCATTTTCGTAGTCAATGAAGTTGATGTAGAGTGATGAATTCCATTCAATTGATTGTTCTACAATGATCCGTAGAGTTGCAATTTGGTCTATACACGATCTATCCTTACGGAATCCTGTCTGTTGGTCACGAAGTTGGGCGTCTACGCAGTCCTTCATCCTGTTTAACAATACCCTGTTGAATACTTTTTTCGGTATTGAAAGAAGAGTGATGCCCCTGTAGTTATCACACTTGCTGAGATCGCCTTTCTTCGGTATTTTGATCAGGAGTCCTTCTTTCCAGTCTTTTGGTACTTGTTCCTCATCCCAAATCTTATTGAAGAGAATGTGGAGTATCCTTGCAGTTGCCGCTACGTCTGCTTTTAGTGCCTCTGCTGGAATGTTGTCTGGTCCTGCTGCTTTGCCACTCTTGATTTGTCTGATGGCCATGCTGATTTCTTCAATTGTTGGTGGGCCAACATTGATTGGGAGGTCCGTGGGTCCTGCTTCGATGTTGGGTTGGGTTCAGTGGGGCTGGTCGATTCAAGAGTTCTTTGAAGTGTTCTACCCACCTGTTTTGTTGCTCTTCAATGTTGGTGATTACCTTGCTTTCCTTGCTTTCACTCGTCGTTCTGGTTTGCGGCGATTTCCAGAGAGTTTCTTTGTTATGTCATACAGTTGTCTCATGTTCCCTTCTCTTGCAGCCTTTTCCGCCGTTGTTGCTAAATCTTCCACATATTTACGTTTGTCGATTCTGATACTCCTCTTCACTTGTTTGTTTACTTCTCTGTATTCAGCTTGTGCTTTGGCTTTTTTTGCTTTTGTTCGACTGGTATTGACTGCTGCCTTCTTGTTCCTTCTTTCTTGAATCTTATGCAGTGTTTCAACAGTGATCCATTCCTTGTGATGGTGCTTCTTGTGACCCAGGACCTCATGACATGTTGAAGTGATTGCCTCTTTGATCCCCTTCCAGTTGCTCTCCACAGTAGTTCCTTCTCCATTGAGTAGATTATGAAAGGCCTGGAACTTGTTGCTGAGGACTATCTTGAATTTGTTGAGTTTGTTAGTATCCTGAAGAAAGGCCGTATTGAACTTTTGTGATATTGTCCGCCCCATTGTCCAGTACTTCTTGAGTTTCAATTTCATCTTGGCGACCAGCAAGTGATGATCTGATGCTATATCAGCTCCTCTCTTGATTCTCACGTCCTCTATAGTCCTCCTGAACGTTTTGTTGATGCAAATATGGTCGATTTGGTTTTGCGTGGTGTGATCCGGTGAAGTCCATGTGGTTTTGTGAATGCGTTTATGTGGGAATATGGTGCCACCTATGACCAGTTTATTGAAGGCACATAGGTTTGCAAATCTCTCACCATTTTCGTTTCTTTCTCCCAGTCCATGTCGTCCCATGATGTCTTCATATTCAGTGTTGTCCGTTCTATCAGAATGGCCAGGTCCTTTGTTTGGCACTTTTCGACGATTGACTGCAGCCTATTGTAGAATTGATCTTTAGTGTCTTCATTGTAATCGTTGGTAGGCGCATAGCATTGGATAATATTCATTGTAATGCCCTCCTTTTTTGTTTTGAACGAGGCTTTGATGATCCTTGGTCCATGAGATTCCCATCCTATAAGCGCATTTTGCGCTTGTTTGGACAGCATCAATGCAACTCCTTGTGTATGTGGGGCATTTTCTTCTTCATGGCCGGAGTATAACAGAAGCTCTCCTGAAGTTAGTCGTTGTTGTCCAACTTGCGTCCAATGTGTTTCACTGATCCCAAGTACCTCTAGGTCGTATCTTCTCATTTCTGCAGCAATTCGGAAGGCTCTCCCAGTGTCCCACATTGTACGAACATTCCATGTACCTAAATAAATGGTCGCTCTGGTTGTCAGAAGGGGCATCGGCCTCGTAACTTCCGAAGGAATTCGGCTTTCATCATGAGGCGTCATAGTTCTTCTAAATGAAGACCTTCTGACTCCCAGGGCAGAGGTTAAAAGGTTTGAATAATTTTTCCTGGTTAGCGTTTTTTTAGCGAGTTAGTTTTCTACGAGATGGGGACGCTAACCCCATGCCCAACCCTCCTCCTTTATCCGGGCTTGGGACCGGCAGTAGCCCCCGGAGGGACTCCAGGCGGAGTTACATATGTTTCAGACAACGGGGAAAATGCTTTAATAATTAATGAGGGATGGTGAAGGAACAGTGGAATGTGTAACCACAGCTTAAAATACAGAGAATATAACGATACAATATATTTTTTAACAATCGTGTAATAAATAATATGTAAGATAGGTCCGAAAGTTACCACTTTCTCAATGTTCTCACGGTTGTTAAAAAATAATGCTGTAATTAATTAAAGTTCACGTTGCACAAACAAGTGGGTATCTGTACTCATCAAATAGTTGAATAAAACGTTGATCGTTAGAAGGGACTAAGTTCGAATCACTGGGGTGCAGGTACATTTAGCTGAAAAGTCCTAAATAGGATGAAACACATTTCCTGGATTCCATTACTAGCCGCCATTCAACTCTGTTTCAATACTTGTGGCGTAATTACTATACCGAGGCCATCCACACAGAATATATATACGCCTAAAGAAACTGATCATATGCAGTCGGTAGATAGACATGAGAAAAATGAACAAGAATTGGATGGAACTAGAAAAGAAGGCCGAGGACAGAGTGGGTTGGAGAATACTGGTCGGTAGCCTATGCTCCATTGGGAGTAACAGGCGTAAGTTAGTTACTAGGATGAGGTGACTGGAAGTGTATGATTTCCTCCATTCGTAAGGTAATAAGTGTGGGGCTTGTCAGAAGTGGGCACCCAATACCCTTTCAAGCATCAATTCCAGGAGTATCAGGTATCGAAACAATCTTTTAACTACTTAACCTCCATCTAATAGTGTCCATGTGTAACCTCAATCATTTTGAAATATCGGGGATAACCATCTTCCATTACTTGCAACAGATAATTGTCTCACACTCAACATAGTTGAACCCCACTCCTAACGGTTCGTAACTAGGACTCCTGAAATCGTTTGTGAAAGTTAGTGATTACATGATTGTTTTTCGTATGGTGGTTGTGGTTGTGTTTGTGGTGATATTAGAATTGTCATAGTTAACACTAGAAACTGATCTTAATTAGTCAGTCATTGAATATCAACTATCCAGTGCTTCCCAAGTTGTTTTTTTTTGATAACTTTCTAACTCAGATCAATCCATATTGTTAAACTGTGAAGATTCAACAATTTTTTTTATTAACTCCCTTATTATTAAAATATTCATAAGTATACATGCAGATAATTTACCATTAGACTGTTTTTCTCTCTGGTATAGCAACAATCATGTCTTCTTAAATAATTTTATACTATCCTGCTATATTTAGCTTAAACATTACACTTCATTCAATAATACTAATGTATATATATATGTATCTCTTAACAAACGGATTGTGTTTTTTTTTTCGTAATGTTACTTTGTATTTCAAGCTGATG